AAAGAAAAAAAGAAAATGGATGGCATCGCATGACAACAACCCCTTGGATGTTGAATACAGAACTGACGGTACCAGAGGAGGAATGGGGAGGAGGGAAGGAAGAATCAGACTAGCAGTAACACTAGGACAGTAACAGAGTGTTTGTGCACTTCATGGTGGTAGAGAGGCCTTAACTAAATACTCCATAATAAAAATGTAACTATGCTACCTCAACTACAAAAAAACATCAGATTAGCTAGGTGACTGTTCACTAGCAATTTATTCTAGATAATTCTGATGTCCTGTTGAGATGACTTTCACAATAGATCTTAAATGCTGAATGAGTGTGAGGTGATAAAATGGGAAAAGGCTTTTTTGGCCCTTTTAGACAGAGGCACCGGAAGTGTAAAGAATAGCATGGAGAACCTTCTAGATGTGGGTGTGTACAACTACTCAGGGATGTAAAGTCCTTGTTTCTCAGACATAGTAATTTCTTTTCTAATAACTATAAACCCACTGAGATTTGTATTTTCAATACTTTAAGAAACAAAATTCATGCATGCCTCTATAAAGAATGGTTTCAAAATGACCAGAGGGAGGATTGGGGAAGTGGTGCGAGGGGCAGCATATGCGAGCATATACAAGACTCCAGAACCACCTCCAGCCAACCTCACACCACCAGGGATGATCACCCCCCAGCAGAATTAACTTTGAGAAATGCTTGAAAAACCAGAGAAAGCATTATTTAATGACATTACATGATAGGTTTTATTAATGATAAATGCTTGCATTTACTTTGAAAAGATTAGCTCTTACTAGGCAAATTTTTTAACAGAGGCTACTAATAAGAATCATTTGCCATACAGAAACTGTATTCACAAACAAGGTTCTAATCGAGTATAGCTAAAAATCACTGGAAAAAAAATACAAAGCAAAACACTGCTGAGTCAATTAATTAAACTGCATCCTATTACTGTATACTTAGAATGACAAAAACATACTAAACTTAACAGAAAAACAATTTTGTGGATTCAATCTAAGACTAGCATTAAGAATAACATGCAATTTGTAATTTCCTTTAGAAATTTGTAACAGTAATTACTTCAACAGAAAGGCTGTCATTTGAAGGAAAGACCATGTTTTATCAGACATCCTCCTCTCATACACACAAGAAACAGCAAACCCAGTGAGTCCTATCTCCCCTTCCCAAATGCTTCTTAGATATGACTTTGCATAATGCCTAACACAGAATTACTTTCCTGGTAACAGTTTCATGGCCAGGTTAAAACAAAAAAACGTATCAAGTGCAAATCTAGAAAACTTCCTTTAAAGAATTACCCAAACCCAGCACATATGCAGTATCGCTATCACCAAGCTAGCAATATGACTTATGTATACTGATACAAGCTCATTAAAGACCATCATCTATAAAGTTTTAGTAGTGTTGCTAAGTTAATAATTCTTTCAAGGCACTGAAAATTATGTAGATGAATTTTCCAAAATATAATTAACAATTGTTAAAAAGCCCTGAGTCAGAACTTTCAATAGCTTCCTGAAGATAGTTTTCAAACAAAATGGTGTATTTGTTTATTTTATAGAAATCTACAAGACCATTTTGCTATTTGGAGGAAAGAAGTCATGTTTTTAATGAAACAAAATCATGTTAACTATACAGGAAAAGTAAAATATTCAATATCTTTCTTAAGCATTTTGTACATGTCAATTATAGCTTATAGTCAGTTATGGACTTAGGCACCAGATTGATGTGGCAATCACCTTTGCTGTCCCTACTCTTAAATCCTCAAAATAAAAACCTCAATTTAAATCTTAGATTTCCATTTCCTCCTTAGTCACAAATAAGAGTAAATGCTAGAAAGGTAATACTCAGAAAAGGAGGTAGAATGTCAATGTTGCAAATTACAATTTTAATAAAACAGCTCTACTACCTAGTTCATGTTTTTATATTCTAATTTTACCCACACTAACCATTTATCAGTAAATTGAGGGTTAATCTAAAGGGCATTCCCTCTCACTATGGCAAAGCAATATACACAGATAGTATTAAATAGTTTTTCCTCAAATTTACTGTTTTAAAGAAGGACAGCTTTATAATACTGCTATAGTTATTTATATGTGCTAATTTTCAAAGCTATATATAATATCAGTAAGCATTCCTAGCATAATATTCAATTAGGTTACTTTATTGAGTGAAAAAAGTATTTTGAAACTGTTACAAGTAGACTTAAAGATGACTTGACACTTTCAACAAGGCACACATAATTTGTGAAAAACCTATTACCTTTCCAATTGAGTAAAAACTAAAACTTCGATCTAAATTTTCAAATGTGTTCATCCCCTCTGGCTCAAATGGGAAAAATGAAACTCTCTAAGATATAATGACATAAACAATTCAGATGGAGAGAAGCAATTCTGATGTCTCCCAAATTTTACCTGTTTAATGTTTATCATGATTTTACATTTTATAGTAATTTAAGTGTTTCTTGATTTGTATTTTACCAACATTTTATTTTAATGGAGGTAGGGGTGGGCAGAGAAAAAGGAAATTTTGTCGAATGAGTACACAGTTTCAATTCTACAAAATGAGAAGTACTAGGTCATCATTTAACAAGGAAAATATACTTAACACTACTAACTTAATATTAGACACTACTGTTATGTATAATTTAATACCTAACACTACTATTTAAAAATGGGTAAGATGGTAAATTTCATGTTTTATGTTTTTATCACGTTACAAAATGAAAAAATTCAATTTCAAAACTTTAATTTTTACACAAATTATTACCATAAAATATTTTAGACACTGTGAGGAAAAGTGCTTTTTCTTTTGGATTTTTTTTAAAGCAAGCTGCATTAAAAGCCTGTAACTTACAAAGCAATTGTCAATTCAAACTATACTAAAAACTGTATTTTCCGCTTAGTGCTTTGATGGAAATCTAGATGATCCTCCTCCTTTTTTCTTTATACTCAAACAGTGACTCTTACTTGCTTGTTGCAGTTCCCTATTGTTTCCCTATCCTATATCCCATTACTAATTCTCTTTGTAAGTTTAATTCCTAGTTCAAGCCAGTCCAAGATTCATAACAAACAAAGAACAGCAACTGAGCAATACATGACTAGACAGTATATTTCTAACATGTAAAAATGATTCAACAAGCTTCATTTCTGTGGAAATTTCATTTGAACAAATGATAAGCAGCATGCATTTAAATATGCTAAAACGTTCTTACAGTCTAAAGCTATCAAATATAAGTTTTAAAATGTTACTTCCAACCTTTCCAACTATATGCCTCAATAGCTAGTGATCAACCTCAAATATTTTGTTACTAGTATCTGAACCACACATAATTTGACTAGCTAAACATTTGACTATTTCTATAATAATACAAAATTATTTCTCTTGAAAAGCCTTCCTGCTCCCAATAAAATTAAATATGTTTATAGTATAAGCAGTTAGAATGTTAAACTATATAAACGAAAATGATTAAAATAGCACCACCTGGTAAGTTGTGTGTGTGTTTTGGGTAACAAAGCTGACAGTCTTATAAGAATAAAAGAAAATACAATAAAAATAAGGAGGTAAAAAGAGGAATCCAAATACTACTTAATTACAAGTCTTCTGAAACAACAGGGAGAATCCTGTTTGGATCCCTTCTATTTGATTACAAATTACTTCAAATATACAAGTGTTTATGATTAATTATCTATGCTAAAACGCTGACCACTTTTTCTTAATACTATACATCTAACCCCAAAGCTCAATAAATATATTTTTTATGAATGCCTAACAGTTGTTTTTTAATGGTGTCAGAAAAACTGAAAGCTCTTTTGAGGCACAGGATAAAAAAGATAATGAGAAGAAAACGACTAATTGAAAAGTACTGCTGAAAGACATATAAGAGGTAGCAGTTTAACAAAAGACGTCAGTTAAAGTATTAAGTTCTTAATCTTATCTCTCCCACAAATTAAAAAAAAATTAATTTTTTGGTGCTTGACAATATGTACAGAAAAATATTTTCTATTCATCAAATTTTAAAGTGCTACAAATACAGAAAATCCACAAGTATATAGCACTATTAGTTCTAGTGACTATGATGTTTTTTAATAGCTTATAAAATATATTTTTAATATGGAGGAAATAAACTTTTCTGAAGGATGAAATTACCATTTAGGGATATAAGTTTTAGGACTGCAGCTGAGAAGACAACTTAAAGAATTAAGTAGCACTCTACACCGTATAATTTTCTGGTTGGCCAAATTAAATATGAATCAACCAGTGGTTACTCATTACCAGAGATTTAGTAGACAATAACTGAATGGTCTATAGCACAGAAAGGAGTATCCTGATTTATATACCATTTCATATTTATATATCATTTCTAAATCTGAAAGAAAATATTTGAACATCAATCCGATGTCCTTTTCATAATTTTGAAATATGGCTTCAAAAATAGCCTCAGTGGCCTTTTATTATATAACTGAGGGAACAATATAAATTTTCCAAATTAAATATATAAAAAAATGTTACTGTTCTAAATGAACTCAGCTAACTTCAGATATGGAATTACCAAGACTATAATATAAATTCAACCAGCAAAGTTTATCATTCTTTTCACCAGGTCTTACAAAGGCAGCAGTCACTAAACAGTCAAAAACAAGATATTACAAGGGTTTAAGAAACTTGTACTTTCAAATTTAGTTGTTGTAGCAGAAAAACTGAAATAAAAACCATTCTCTACAGGTGCCAAGTGGGAAACAACTCTAAAAAAGTTTATACTTAAGAGTAAGTATATATACAGTATATAGCAGACACTTGTAAACAAGCTGATATTTTACAATCTAGCAGCAAAAAACCCAAAAACATTTATATGTATCTTCATCATAGACCATTAAGATTACTCAAAGGAAAAAAAAAAATATTAGAAGCTGTAGAGTCAATGTCTGAATAAAAAAAAATTACAGGTAAACAGATATATATATATATACACATATATATATATTCTGGGCACTTCTAACATATTTATTACTAGGGTTATTTTTCATGTTCTGAATATTATTCGTTTTAAAACTTCTTTTAGGTATAAAGAAGATTTTTTCACCACTATCTGAGCAAGAATAGAAAGAAGTAAGGCCTATGAATGAAAGCAGGATCAGGAATCAGCAACATTATCAGAATGAACAAGAAAATTTTGTTTTGAATAACGCGTTATCTTTTTTCAGCTCACAAGGGACATAAGAAAACTTGAAGATCAGAGGCTTAGACTGAGATATTAGAGGCCATCAGAGGCTAAATGGAACAGTATCATTTAACTGGTCAGATCAAGCCAGAATAACCATGTGGGGAAACTGAGGTACATTTTCATCCACATTTTTTAAAGACAGGCTACACAAAACAGTATAAAAATTAATCTAAAAATGGCAACTGTTAATGACCAATTAATAAGTATTCTACTCTGAACTGATTTCTCATGCCTATTAATCATTTTAAACTGGGAATTTGTTCAGTTCAAACTATTTTCTTTTTAAATCTAGAAAATAAGTTAAATGCAAAGTCATTATTCTCTGAATCTATGCTTTCATTTATTCTAAGATTTCGGAAAACAATCATTTGGATATTTAACATTTAATGTTATAAAGAGAAATCTCTCTTCAATATTCTCTTAGCTATGTAGAACTTTTGCTCTAATTTCATCATTTAATATGTGGCATAATGGTTTGACTTGCCCCTTTCATTTGATGCATGACTTTTCAACTATGTAAAATCATAATCGAAAAACAGCGTTCAAAGAAGTGCACCCTTTGAAATCTACAAATATATAAACTATTAAAAACACAAACACACACACAATTAAAAACAAAAAGAACCCAGGAGATCCTTAAACATTTTCTGCCTTAGAAGCCAAAAGTAAATGAATTTCACAAATTTGATGCATCAAATAAAAAAACATGACTTTAGAATACTGTTTCATGAAGGTTTTTTTGTTCTGGTATATTTACGGTCTAAAAGAAACTAATACAAAAAGATTAATTCATTAGCTCTCCAACTAACTTAAAAGTTTACAAAGAGTTCATAAGCAAATACTTCAGCTAACAAAACACAAATGAGTTTCTTAGCTAATACAAAAGAATCCTTCGTTCAATAGCCTTGCGACAAATAGGACATTCACTCATTCGGTCTCCACAGAGCTGACACGTTCCATGGCCACAGAGGAAAATCATATTCTTCAGACGATCCAAACACACAGGGCACATTGTCTGTAATGTGAGATAGAAAAGAAATAAATGCTATAACATTTTATATTCTGAAAATACACGACAATTCTGTAATATCACTCATGAACTTTGATATAAAGTCTGTTAGTGCCTAAATTTTTTTTCAGTAGTTAAAATAAATGTCATCCCTATTAAACAGATACGTTGAGAGGCTGGAAAAATAGTACAGCAGATAGGGCAATTACCTTGCATGCTGCTGACCCAGATTCAATCTCCAGTATCCCATGTAGTCCCCCCAAAGCAGTTCCAGGAGTGATCCCTGGGCACCCAGCCAGGAGTAAGCCATGAATACTACCAGGTATAAACCCATAATCCAATAAAATAAGCAGAAATTGGTTGTCTTGTCAGGAGAGAATAAAAGGTACTACATAAAATAACAGAGCTAGAAAAATAATACAGTGGGTAGGGCGCTTGCCTTGCATGTAGCTGACCTGGGTATGATTCCTGGTACCCCAAATGGCTGTCCAAATCCCATTAGAAGTGATGCTATTTTTTAAGTATCTCTACTACTAAGCCACATTCCCAGCTAGTCTTTTAATTTTTCCTCCATTGTTTAAATTCTGTATATTTAAATTCTGTTTTACATGGTTAGCTTCTATTTAAAAAAACAACATTTTAAAAATTTGCTATCACAAAGTCATTAATTATCCTGGGACACTACTGTTATTGCTTTAAAACTTCAGACAGAAAAAGGCAAGAGTGATTAACAAATGTATGGCAATTCTGATACAATTGATAAACCAAAGAAACAAGACCCACAGGCCAGAAAAACAGCAAGAGTGGCAGGTCACATGCTTAATATATGGGAGGTGCTGAGTCTGACCCTTGATCTCTGACACCACATGTGCGCACTCCACCCCCAGTGCCTCCAGGTGAGGTCCTAAGTACCTCCAGGGCCAAGTTCCATGTTTCTGGGCCTGAAGCACTAAGCCATCAGGCCTGCACCATCTGGGTAGTATCCCTGGGAATGCCTCCAGGTCCCCCAGCATTATTAGAGATGACCCCAATTTTTAAAAAACAATAAAGGAGGAGAGGGGGTAAAAGAAAAGAGAGGAGGGAGGAAGGGAGGAAATCCTTGCTGACCAAATCATTCAAAGCGATAGCACAGCGGGTAGTGCGTTCGCCTTACAAGCGGCCAACATGGCCGACCCGAGTTCGATTCCTCCGCCCCTCTTGGAGAGCCTGGCAAGCTACCGAGAGTATTCGATATGCCAAACACAGCAACAACAAATTTAATTAGAGTCAAATAATATGGGGTAATGCAAAATCAGTACCTCTTAACATGTAACCTTGTAAGCTTTAGCTAACTTCATTATCTGACTCTTGCTTTAAGTACACGTACTGAGGAGTCAGAAAGAGAACTCCTGCTGGTATATTTAAGATAAAAATAAAGGTCTGGGGGCCGGAGTGATAGTACTGTGGGAAGGCAAGACACTTGTCTTGCACACAACTGATCAAGGTATGATACTCAGTATCACATAGAGTCCTCCATGCACTGCCAGAAGTGTAGAAGCAGGAATAACCCGAGCATTGCCAGGTGCTACCTCCACACCCAAAAAAATTAGGGGTATAAAAGATAGGTCAGAAGCACATGTACCAAGTTCAATTCCCGACCTGTCATGACCCCCATAAAGTGGCTCCCAGCACCCCTGTCCCTCGTCAAGTGCTGTGACGAGTGTCCCCCACAAGTCCCAAAGTATTGCTTAAGAACCCCCCTGAAAATAGTATCATCATTACCCAGTCTAAAGCATGGAATGTGATGCTTTCTTCTGAAACCCCTCCAATATACAATTTAAAGTTCACAAACTAACCAAACACGTGCAATGGATCAAGAAATGTGTCTAAAAACTTTCTTCACACCCCACCTCCCAGCCAACACCAGCCCAGAAAACCACTCTTTGACTTTTAGCACTGAGAAGGATCTTTTCCAAGTTTGTTGTCAAACAATATCCTGTTTGGATTTACTAGATAATGACAAACTTTTGCAAAGTGTTTTTACCAACTTTTATTTCCAGCAGCAGTGTGTCATTGAGGTTGGAGGTTCTGCTCCTGGCCAAGTGTGTACATTTGGTGCTGGAAATCAAAGTCTGGCTTCCTGCAAACAAAGCATTCCCTCCTGCCCACTGAGCTATGGCTCCTAACTTCCAAGCCCAATAGTTTTTAATAGTAACTTTTTTCTCTCAACCTGATAGGTGAAAAAGGTATCTAACTGTAGTCTCAAATTCACTTTCCAATTAGCAATGTGGCTGATCATTTTTTAAATGTTTCCTATTATGCAAAGTGCCTTATTAAATCTAAAGAACTATTATCCAATGCAGATATTCAAATACCATGAACCACTAACATGAATCATGCTTAATAATACAGAATACACTAGTTTTCTAGGAAAATATAAAGTGCCACTGTTAAGAATAGTTTAACATGAAGAAATAATATTACCTGTTCTTTAATGTCCTGTAGCTGTTGTTGCAACTTCTGCACATCTGCATTGACATTGGTATTATCCTTGTCCTTTTGTAATACTGGAATATTCCCACTTGCTGTAATATAAATTTTTTAAATTTTAATCTGTTTTGACAGACTGTTACTAAATTTATTAATTTAGTTGAAAACAAAAACATTACAACTCCCTTTAAATTTTTTTATTTGGACAATAAATAAGTGACATTCATGCCACATTCTTTCATTTAGAATCTTCAAAAGTGAAGACTGTATTCACATTAATTGACAATCACTTCTTAACATACACACGGACTCTTTCAAGGCTCTACTTTCACAAATGCATTTTTAAGCTTGACTTCTCTGTACCATTTTATATACAACCAAGGAGCTCTGCAGCAGTTTTTCATCAACTTTGGCAGGAATAATTTCAAATCTTGCAGATGATGTAGAACAAAAATCTAGCCTCCTTCCGCTATGTCTGACTCTTATTATTGATCTGAGAAGAGAAACTCCATGAAAGAAAGACTATGACACAGCCGGAGCGATAGTAAAGTGGACAGGGGGAAGAAAAGGAAAGAGGGGGAGAGGAGGGGAGTGGAGGGGAGGAGAGAGACGAGGAGGTGAAAGACTATGACCTGTGATTTGTAATACGGAGGAAAAACTCCTACTGTGTATTTTTGGCATTTTAATCGAGTTTATCTGGAGTCTTTATTCATCTCCACTGGTGACAGAACAAAAGCAAGGAACAGAAGTGGCACACGTGTATTCATCATCTGCTCACAACACAAAGGAATCAGAGAAAGCATTGAGCTGATATTTAGTACAAAGATGAAAAACTTTTTTACATAGTGTGCTACTAAAGAGTTGAAGGTAAATGAATTTTCACCTTTTCACTTATTTACTGGCCTACAATTAAGTTTATATTAGTTCTACCCTAATTATTATTTCACAAAGCATATGCATGCATTAGGAAACCTGCTACGTGAAGAAATTAAGATTTGTATAAACGGAAAGAAAATTATTTGTAATATAAAGTTCCCCCAAGATACACTAAATTTCATCTTAGAAGTAGATAGCCACAGATTTCATTATATCAATATGGCATTATCTTAAAAAGACAAAATCTTTTCTATAATCATGTCACAACAGAAATTCAGTTTTCTGACAATGTGACAAAAGCACCAGAAAAGCCCATCTGTCCTCTTTAAGACAAGTCACATACCTTATGCTTTATAGACATCAGTGTTCTACTGTGAATGAAAAGAGATGTTCATGGAAATCCCAACCTAAGAAAACAGTTATGAAAAGTAACTCACAGATATCATCACCAGGATCTTCTGAACTTTTCCCTCCACAACACATAATGAAAGGCACTCTCCGTTCAACAACTGCGCGACACTGCACACACTTTTTCATCAGGCTAGCACAGTCTGAAAAACAGCAGCAAGACGCTTCTTATGAGAGTATATGAACAAAAGGGCTGCCACACTCTTTACTTCTTTTAAAAAAAAAAAACCTTTATTTTTATTTTTACTTTTTGGGTCACACCCAGCGATGCACAGGGGTTACTCCTGGCTCATGCACTCAGGAATTACTCCTGGTGGTGCTCAGGGGACCATATGGGATGCTGGGAATCGAACCCGGGTCAGCTGTGTGCAAAGCAAAGGCCCTACCCATTGTGCTATTGCTCCAGCCCCCTCTTACTCGTTTTACAACTTAAAACTTACCACCAAAGTATCATGCAAGTTACATCAACATGTAATTTTACCTTAGTAAAATGTTATCAACCCTGGGAAGGAGCAGCAATAGTTCAGCAAGTAAACATTTGCCTTGCACAAGGCCAAATCTGGTTCAATTCCCAGCATCCCATATGGTACCCTGAGTAATTTCTGAGTGCAAAGCCAGGAGTAATTTCTGAGGATGGCTGGATATGGCTCAAAAAAAAAAAAGTTATCAACCTAAGAAAGTATATTCTCCTTCAGTAGCCTCTAGAATAGAAAATCTATCAACTGTGAAAGAAAAGTTTTTCATATTTTAAAATAAGTAACAAGGGTTAAAGATGTGGTTGATGGGCAGCTTGCATGCTTACATGTGTGAGGCCCTTTGTTGTTTTAGTTTTTCCCCAATTCAGTTTTCATTGCATCACAATTTACTGTACCACTATTATTGTATAGCTTCAGTGCTGCTAAACTATGCCTACCACCAGAACATGACAGTCCCTCCCTCTTCCCAAGGTAGGTCTTTCCCCTCCCCAAGCCCTTTAGCTTCCTCTACTGACTATGTCTCAGGATTTGTTTCCACTGAATATTATTTAATCCCCATCTTAGTTTCTTTATTCTCTGTATATGAGTGAGATAGTCTGGTGTTTGTCTTTTTCTTTGTAATTCAGTTCACTCAGCATGACAGCCTCCAATTCCATCTAAGATACAACAAACTGCAAAATTCCATCTTTTCTCATAGCCGAGCAGTGTTTTATTGTGTACATATACGACAGTATCTTGATCCACTCATCAATTATTGAGCACTTGGGTCATTCCCATATATTCGCTACTATAATGTTTCAATATACACAAGTGTGGAAATGTCATTTAAAATCAATGTTTCTTTGTATTTTGGGGTTAGATGCCTAGTACTCACTGAATCCAATACAAATTCTGCTCTGAAATTTCTGTTAAGTCTTCAGGCCACTTTCCAGAGACTGACCCAGACAACTGTCCTACCAACAATAAACATTTCCTTTATCACTACATTCCTGTCAACATGTAACCTATCAAATTTTTTGACATAAATCACTTTCGCTGATATGAGGTGCTATCTCACTGTTGTGCTGATTTGCATTTCCCTGAAAATCAGTGTGATGAACACTTTTTACATGTCTGAAAGGCCATCATTTATGTCTTTTGAGAAAGTGTCTGTTCATCTCCACTGCCCAGTTTTTTTCTTTTTGGGTCATACCCAGCAATGCTCAGGGGTATATAAGCCCTTTGTCTGATGTATAATATTTGAATGTTTTCTCCCCATTAGTAGTGTATCTTTTTATTTTGGGCCTCGTTTTGTTGACAGTGCAGAAACAGTTAGATGCAATCCATTTATTTCTGCTTTTGTTTTCTTAGTCAAAGAAAACAAAAGCATAGTTTCTGACCTTGAATCTTTTAGGGTCAATTTTGTGGAGAGTTTTGTCTGCGTTTTCCTCAATGATTTTATAAAGGTTTGATATGAAGGTCTTTAATTCATTTTGAATTCTACTTTGTGTATGGCATGAGATGGTATCTAATTCTTTTGGTGAAATATGAGATTCTCCAAATTTTCCCAGTACCATTTGTTTGAAGAGCCTCTTCTTATTTCATTTCATGAACCTAGCCTCTTTGCCATAAATTAACTGTCCATATGCATCTGAGTATTTATCTTTAGAGGTCCTAGCACAGCTAAAAAAGGTAACAAAATAAGTATTTCAAAATCTTAAGGTTTAAAATAAAGAAGGGAGCTATAACTTAAAATTTTTTTAGTTAATTCTATAATTACAAGTGTTCAGACTTGAACACCTGAAGAACCTGCCATCAATACTCATCAATACGCTAGCTCGGCTCTTCACACACTACCTGTCTGAATGCAAGGTTCCATCCCAGTGGAAAACCAGCAGGACTATACAACTGTACAAGAAGGGAGACATTCACGACACTGGCAACTATCACCCGATCTGCCTACTGTCTGTCATCTACAAGCTGTTCACTCGAGTCATCCTGAATAGGATTGGCAGAATACTTGATGAAGGACAACCACACGAGCAAGTCGGGTTCTGAAAAGGATTTAGCACCATCGACCACATCCACACGATAACCAAGCTTATTGAGGTTTCTTGGGAGTTTAAGATGCCGCTCTGTCTAATGTTCATTGATTTAAAGAAGGCCTTTGATTCTGTTGAGACAAAAGTGGTCATTGAAGCCCTAGACAATCAGGGCAATCAAACTCAATACATCAGGATCCTCTGTGAGCTGTATTACAGATTCACTACCAGGATCTCACCATTCTACAAAGAAGTGATCATCGATGTCAAGAGAGGGGTTCAGCAGGGTGATACCATTTCACCGAAACTCTTCAGTGCCTCCCTCAAGAACATCATGCTACGACTGGAATGGGAAGGAATGGGAGTGAAGATAGACGGTCGGCAACTACACCACCTCCACTTTGCTGATGACATCGTTCTAATAACACCAAACATAAGCCAAGCAGCACAAATGCTGGCCTACTTCGACCGTGAGTGTGGAAAGGTCAGACTATAGCTGAATCTCACAAAGACAATGTTTATGAGAAACAGCCTAGTTCCTGATGCTCCATTCTCTCTCAACGGAACGATCATCTCTGAATGCAACTGTCATGTGTACCAAGGTCGAGAAGTCAATATGACAAATGACCTGGCATCTGAGTTGTGCAGGAGGAAGAGAGTGGCTTGGAACGCCTTCAAGAGCGTCGAAGAAACAGCTAGTTACAAGATAACCGTTATAATTTTCTTAGAAAATTTTCTTAAAATATTTTCTATTGTTTAATCCCCTAAGATTCCTAATGTTAAGTAACAATCTCTTCTGTCTCTTACCAAATTATTGTAATCTAACAAGAAAATGCCTTAGTGGCTACTTTTTAATGAAACAGTGAGGAAAACATAAAAAATTTATTGTAATGAACTATGAAAAATCTATGTATCAGCAGAATGTTCTCCCATTCCAAGAACAAATCTCTAGGCATAATTATAAGTTGCAGGGGTGGGTTTTTTATTCTTTTTTGGAGGGGATAGTGGTTTGGACCGTACCCAGTGGTACTCTATGCTTACTCCTGGCTGTGCACTCGGGGATCACACTCATGGCACTCAAGGGACCATAAGGTCACATATGCAGTCAGTTGCATAAAAGGCAAGCAACTGATCATGATGCCCCAACTGATGGGGAATCTCAAGGCCCTGTAAGTTGCAGAATTTGAATACCTTATATTTAAAGTCGCTAATTACTAAAACAAAGAACACCTCAACCTATGTCTCCCTTTACCATTAAACTTAAACTTCAACAACCAAATTTAAAAATGTGCCTGTTGAGGTGGCAGGCTGAGGGTGGAGCGGGGGAAGAGAAACTGGAAACTCTACTGGAGGGAGTGGTATTTCTACTACAGCAGTGGTAGAAATGGTGGTGTAACACAGTTATGTCCAAAACCCATCTAGGAATAACTTTGAAAGTCATGGTGCTTTAATAATTTTTTAAAAACTTTCTTGGCCTGTATACTATATAACAGAGAACAAGGTTGATCTATTATTACCAACGTCTCCCTAAACAGATATGGAACTTATGCTAAGCTATAGAAGATGCACTAGTCAGAAGTTAATGCTAGTAGAAATCTGATTTGAAACTTGCTATTGACAAGGGCAGTTTTTCCCCTTAAACTTAAAATGGTTGATTGCCTCAAAATGCATCATGTATAACCATAATTATCTCAAAGTCATCTAACTGTTAAATTGTTACATTATTTCTATAGAACCTTTTAACTTTCCTGAAAAAGAATAGACAGACAACATTTCATTCAATATTGTTTCGTTGTAACATGAAAGAGAAAAAAATCAATCCCAGTCAACATTGAACAAAATGACATGAGGACCTTGATTTAACACACATCATGTTGCATAAAGAAGCAGTTTCCCAAAACCTAAGTCCTTAAGTGAGAACTTACTGTCATCTCTCCTTCCTCTGATCTGTCAAAGAGGCTTTACAATATTCAAGTCTCTAATACAGTTTAGCACTGGTGGGTACTGAGCTAACTTCTTTAATACATGATTCTTAAGACCGGAATATTTTCAACCTAAATTTCACCTCTTCTAGCAGGAATAGTACAAATGAATGAAAAAAACATAGATTTAAAAAGAGGCGTGTCAGGGCTGGAGCGACAGCACAGAGGGTAGGGCGTTTGCCTTTACGTAAACACAGTCACCCGAGTTCGATTCCCAGTATCTCATACGGTTCCCCGAGCACCACCAGGATGCCAGGAGTAATTCCTGAGAGCAGGAGCCAGGAGTAACCCCTGTGCATTGCCGGGTGTGACCCAAAAAAGCAAAATAAAAACAAAAAACAAAAACAAAAAAAAAGAGAGAGACATGTCTGGTACAGGATTAAGAACTGAATGCAATGACAGTAAGACAGTAAATGACAGTACAGCAGTAGGGAGTTTGCCTTCACACAGCTAACCTGGGTTCAATCCCCGGCACCCCATATGGTCCCCTGACAACTGCCAGGAATAATTCCTGGAATAAGTCTGGGAGTGCAGAGCAGGAGTAACCCTTCAGCATCGCCAGGTGTGGAATAAAGAACTGAATGTATATTAGCTATTGCTTGTTAAATTTTAAAGGAAATGTAAAAACTCTGAGGAAGTCCCAGGTAAAATAAGGCTCAAGAATCTTGTGTTATCAACTACTAATTAAAAACAGCTTTTAGGTCCATCTCTCTGATCTACAACAGGGGTCAGCAAACTATAGCCTGGAGGCCAAATCCAACTAGGCGCCAGTTTTGCATAAAGTTTTAATGGGAAACAGCCCAGGTCCACTCATTTGCACACTGTCTATGACTATTTTTGCACTCAACACATACAGAGTTGAGCAGTTACTATAATACCAAGAAGCCCAAAACTGAGAAATATTATTTGACCCTTTATAGAAAAATCTTGCTAACCACTTATCTATGAAAGCCTAAGCTCTTTTTAGTTAAGAAAATTCTCTAAGCCTCCTCTGATAATTAACAGTAATCATTATATCATTCTATAATAAACAGAAATGGTTAGTAGAGACAGAACATTACAATTGAAAACCTGATCCGTTTTTAACTGAAGAAATACCTAATAGAAAAGCAAAACATAACTTAAAATAATCTATGCCACTGAAATTAAAGTATCAACAGTTTGCATATTACTTCACTCATGAAAATCAACACTAACACAACTCTCTTACATTAGGAAATACCAGACTGTACCTTGTTTTACCATGGGCCCATTTAAGATATAAAATAGTTGAATTTGTGTAAACTCCTTCACTGAAAATCACAGAAATTCAAAGGCGAAAGGATACTATTACTATTAAACAGTGTATAAACTTTAAAATAACAGGAATATAAAAAGAAAAGTCTTTTAGGAGAGTATGTTTAAAATATTTAAATACCTCTTAAACGTTTAAGTTACCCTCACAAATAGTAAGATGAAGGAAACTTTGTATTGGCTACTTACTCTCACAAGCACACATGTGTCCACAAGGTTGAAAAAGAACAGCTGCTTTCTTGTCAGAGCATACCACACATTCTTCGATCTAAAAAAAAAAGTTACAGCGCAAGTGTCAACATCTACAGATAACCCTAGTATCTCTAACAGTACCTTGGGTTTCTAAGCATATTTCCTCTACCAGGAAAACTCCCCAGGTACACAAAAAGTTTAACACACATTTCTCTGACCTCCAGTCTCTTAATGTTTTCATGCTTTTATATACTGCAACAGCTCAACACTCTTATTTCTTTTTTTTTCAACACTCTATTTCTACATTAGTCTATCTCTTTCCTAAAGAATAATACAGAAATAATCCATTTCCTCTGAGATCAGAGAAACTGGACTGGATTTCAAATTTCCATGTTTTGTTTTTTCCTAAAAATCACGAGAACAAAAATATAAAGAATAAATGATTAAGACAGATCTCTAATATTAATAAAAATCTAGTAAGATTAGTGACACTGCTAAAAAAGGGGGAGGTTTTCTCGTTTAATCACATTTCTCAAACTTTAACCCTGAAGTCACAACTCTTCCACAACCTATTCATAATTCCCCTCAATTTCATCTTTCCTTCATTTCTACTTTACCTAACTTTTAATGTATCCCAGAGCCCTCTCTCTCCCTCTCTCTCGTTTTTTTTGGATCACACCCGGCGATGCTCAGGGGTTACTCCTGGTTTTGTACTCAAGAATTATTCCTGGCGGTGCTCAAGGGACCATATGGGATGCCAGGGAATGAACCTGGGCCAGCCGCATGCAAGGCAAAACACCCCATCCTGCTGTACTATTGGTCCAGCCCCAGGTCTCTTATTTCTTAACCATAGATTTGGTTTCCATTCCTTCCTACTGGCATTAGCTTTTTGTCTATCTTTCACCTATTCATCTCCCTTTGTCAGATCTTTATATTTACTTGTACATACAAGTAAATTAAATCTGTTGTCAATTAAAACTTCTATTCAGAAAAAGATGCTCACCACTCACCTGGAGCTCCACCTACAACTGTAGATACTCTTTTTCTAAGAACATTATCAACTTATACCCTGCTGTGTATATAGGTTTTAAAATAGTTGTGGTAAGAGCAGAAAGTAGGAAGACATGATTGAAAAGGATCTTACATGATAATTAACAAATTATCTAACAGTGTTAACCCACAGTTTATTTTCTAATTATCTAACATTGTTAACCCACACTTGTATTTCCTAATCTCAGAAAAGAACAATCCTTCATAGGTGATTAAAAAGTTAGATATGTGTATTTAAAATTAATGCCCAATATCTAAGTATCTTTTCCACACAATGAGGAGGTATTTCTAAAAATTATTCTAACTCAATTCTCCCTATGAATTGTCCACAAGAAGTTGAAATTAGCAAAATGATCTAATCCATTCTTATCAATTCACCTATTAGTAAAAGAAAACAATCTTTGTAACCTTTTTAATTTTCTTCTTAGGTTATTGAACGATAGGTGTAGAATTACTAAAATCAAAGCATGTTTATTATAAATTTTTGTGTATGAAGTCAATATTGTCTCTCTAAAATATGAAAGCATTACTCTAGCTAGCAGTGTTAAAACAGTATCACTCAGGGGCTAGAGTGATAGTACAGCAGGAAGGGCATTTGTCTTGGACACAGCCGACCTGGGTTCGATACCTGGCATCCCATATGGTCCCTGAGCACCGCCAGGAATAATTCCTGAGTGCAGAGTCAGGAAGTAACCCGAGTATCGCCGGGTGTGACCCCAAAAGCCAAAACAAACAAAAAAGCACCATTCAACATAATTCTGACTAGCACTGTGCGTCTTGTTCTGTTCCTAGTTCCAGGGGATCAGTACTCCAAGAAGTATGGCCAATAGCCTTCTCCAGGCTGCCCCTGGGGAGTAGGGCCAAGCAGAGCATAGGATTAACCCCAGGCTCCACTACTTTGAACCACATCAAGAGTCCAGGCTAGCACTTAGAAAAATGGGGGAACGAGAGGCCTCTTCTAAGCAGTGAGAGCCACTTCCAGTAATATTTGGCTGAGCAGTGCTAGGGCATGGCAATGTGGCTACACATGGGGTATTTGGGGTAAAGTTAGGGTCATTTAGATGCACATAGACTTCTAATCCCTTCCCTGACCCTGGCCAGCTTTTTTTGGGGGGGGGGAGGGAGGAGGCGATAGGTTTGGGTCACACTCAGCAGTACTCAGAGGACTTATGGGAAGCTCAGGAATCAATCAGAGTTGGTCACTTGCATGTCTTAGTTACTGTACTCTGGCCCTGTCCCTAGCTGAGAATTTTTAATTTTTTGCTAAGTTGATAAAAATGGTCAATAATAATTCATATTTTTTTAAATTTTATTTAACTGCTAAAAGACCAAGCTTATTGTTTCTCTCTCCCAATGTTAGTTTCTTTTATATTCAGTAAAGGTGTTCATTATTTTTTAACCACTTGGGGTCACTATTTCTTTATATTCAAAGGATCAGAAACTAATGACAGATCTGGTGATTATAGCAGATGTTCTGTCCGACAAGTTTGAAAACGCCACAATTTATTTAGCTGAAGGGGTGGGAAGCAATGGCCAAGATAAAAGCCAGAGGCTTCATGAAACTTAGGCAACTATTCTATCGCTGAACAACTTTCCAGTCCCCAAAATTCCAATAGTTAAAACAAAAAGAGACCAGAAGACCAGAATGTAGTTCAAATGACAGACCTTGTCTTGCAGCAGTGAGGCCCTTAAACCACCTTTTTCACCCACCCCATCCCTGCCCAAAGTACCTCATGATCCTGAGTACCCCAAGGTTAGCCTTCACAGCAAAAATGGTATCAACAAAAATTAAAAACAAACTGAAACCTTACTAATTCTTAAAATTCAGAAGTAACCTAAAAAAGAAATACAGCATATTCCTTCTTTACCTATCTGTTCCTTCAAGGCTTTCCTAGAGACAGTTTTGAATTGTGTCTATGTATCGTAATATAGTGGAAAGAAGAGGGATTTAAGGATCAAGACATTAAAGACCCAAGTGTCTATACCTTCTGTTTTTTTCCAATTATAAATGCTGGTATTGAAATAGATGAACCATAAGGGGTATTTCATAGCAGAGACTTTTTTTTGGGGGGGGGGGTCACACCCAGCGATGCACAGGGGTTACTCCTCACTCTGCTCTCAAGAGTCAAGTCCTGGCAGTGCTTGGGAGATCATATGAAATAATAAAATCATTCTTCTGTCACTGTCACTGTCCTCCCATTGTTCATCGATTTGCTCGAGCGGGCCCAGTAACATCTCCACTGTGAGACTTGTTGTTACTGTGTCTGGCATATCAAATACATCACGGGTAGCTTGCCAGGCTCTACCGTGCGGGCGAGATACTCTCGGTAGCTTGCCGGGCTCTCCGAGAGGGGCGGAGGAATCGAACTCGGGTCGGCCATGTTGGCCGCTTGTAAGGCAAATGCCCTATCACTGTGCTATGGCTCCAACCCTGGGCTGGAGCCATAGCACAGCGGTAGGGCGTTTGCCTTGCACGCAGCCAGCCTGGCAGAGCTGGGTTCAAAATCATTCTTAAAGACTAAAATTTGGACAAGAGAGTTAAATGGGCTGAAAACATTTTCTCCTGAAAAGGCAAGGGTTCAATCCCCAGCACAGCAATGGTCCTACCCGCCCCCCTCCCACCCCCTCACCCCACCCCCAGCACTGCTAGGAAGGATTCCTGCACTGGGAACAGACTCCAGCACCAACAGCTGTGGCTCAAAAGAATTTTTTTTAATTAAGCACATGAAATTCTATTATATTACTAATTATAATCTCAAAGTACCATATTGAAAATGTATTACCTTGGTCCTGGACTGAACTTGTTCTTTACAGATCAGGCATTTCTTGACTCGTGGAGAACACAAAGAGCAGGTAGCAATATGTCCACATGGGCCAAAAAGAGTATCCCTCTTCATATCTGAACACACCATACACTCTTCCAAGGTTTCAGTATCATTACTAATCATAGACGGACTTCGAGAACCCACCTGACCACTAATAAAAGAAAATATTTCTAATCAGGCTTCTCAGATATTTATGTTACAATGTCACAAATTAAAAGTCTAGTGGGCAAACAAGCAGGCGGGGGGGCAGGGGCACATGTCACCCATGTTGAAGGGTCTCAGGTTTGTTCCTAGCACCACAGGCACTGCTCAGGAGCCCTGAGCACTGCTGGCATCAGCAGCACTGCATCACTCAGTCCCAGGCACAGAGACTTCTACCCACTAGGTCAAATTATCATCAGGAGCAGCCTCTGGTCTCCTGAGCATTGATTGCCCCCCCCCCAAAAAAAAAAAGAGAGATGAATCTGCTCATTATATTAATTTCCCTGTAATGCAGCTCTGTGAATTCCAAAGAGGCCACCTGAAACTTTTTTATTCCAAATTTATTTTCTTTTCCTCTCCTCCCTTTTTTTCCCCTTTTCTCTCTCCCTTTTCTACTTTTAGTCTCCCCTCTTGCCCCACTAGATCCCCTCAAATCTCTCTAAAAGTCTTTCAATAAAATCTCTCGTTTCAATTTTTAAAGGTCGTTTATCACTCGATACATATAAACTACAAGTTTAAAATAAAAAACAGAAGAGAAGTAAAAGAGCACAGAGATCACAGATCAAGGGTCAACTTCTAACATGTTCAGTAACAATCATCAGGTGTGAAAAGAGAGAGCAAAATTAACTATCAGCACCACATGGTATGAAAAAGTTTAAGATTTTCTTTTTTCCTCAGAGCTTATTCCTGGCACTGTGCTCAGAGATCACTCCTAGCGGGGCTCAAGAGACCAGATGTGGTGCTGGCAATCAAAGAAGGGTAGTAGCATGCAAGGCATGTGCCCTACCAACTGTACTATCACTCTAGCCCAGATATTCCTTTCTAAATTTATAAAATAGGCCTCAGAACAAATCTAGATAAATCACACTTTAAAATAAAAAATATTTCTGTTTATAAAAGGTAAGTATAACATTGGTGGAAGGAAGGTCACACTGGTGGTGGGATTGATGTTGGAACATTGAATGCCTTAAAAAATTATTATAAACAACTTTGTATATCACAGTATTTAAAGTTTTTTGTTTAAAGTAAAATCGTATTGAAAGAAAGGACCATTAAGAACAGATTCATTCAAGAACTGAGTGTTGAAAGGAGTTAAAATGATATACATGGTAAATTTTCACAGTATTGCAAACCAGTGTCTAAAATGGGGAAGGGGTGGGGAGAGGAAGGGGGGGGGGGGGAGGGAAGAGGAGAGGAGAGGAGAGAGGTGCCTGCCAAGGAAGCAGGCTGGGGCAGGGGGCTGGAGAGAAACTAGGGGCACAGGTGGTGGGAAATGTACACTGCTGAAGGGATGGGTGCTGGAACAGTGCATGACTGAAACCCAATCAGGAACAACTTTGTGGAGTTCACGGTGATTCAAACAAACAGAAAGAACAGGATCGCTCATCTGCTCATTCTTTTCAATCCTGCACTGATTTTTATTGTGCACCTATCTGGCATTGTGCAGGGTGCTGGAATTATTACAGAGTTTGTATGAGATAAACTCTGAGCACCACCTCTTTTCAAGAAGAGTCTATTAAAATTCTACTATAATATTAATCAGAGCATTTCACTAGTAAAGTTTTCATTTACAAAAAACTCCTCTTTAAAAACAAAGTCACACTCAAAGATCAGACTGGTTTACAAAAAGTTTCTTAGACCTTTTAACATAAAACATCAAGTTGGGTTGGAGCTACAGTACAGCAGGGAGAGTGTTCGCCTTGTATGCGGCTGACCTGGGTACGATCCCCAGCATTCCATATGGTGCCCTGAGCACCGCCAAGAGTAATTACTGAGTGCAGTAATTGCAAATCCCGAGGATTGCCGGGTGTGATCCAAAAAAATCATCATATGCTGGGGAACAAGGGGACAGTCCACAAATACCCCATGTTGCTCAGGGACTACTCCTGATACCATGCTCAGGGTCACTCCTACCAGGAAAACACACACAGTGCCAGGGATGGTACTAAGGTTGACCTCATGCAAGGCACATACCATAACCCCTTCACTATCTCTCCAGTACCATAAAGCATTATATCTAATAAGGCAGAGAATAAAGCAAAAAAGAAGAGATAAACCATATGAAAATATTTAGGGAAAAGGAAGGGTGAAAAGCAAATATAATGATGTTCTCCATTACGAAACACATAATTCTTTTCTACAGAGAATATTAAGTTTTGTGACAATAAATAATACAAACCTGACTTTTTCTTTATGACACTTTGCCAATGCTTTGCAGAGACTTGGATCAGGACAAAGATCAAGCGGTGACTGGCCCTTCTTATTTCGAATGCTCAGGTCAGCACCATTGGCAGCCAAAAAGCAGGCAATAGATGCTGCACTCTTCTTCTCTGCCCCCTGGGTACCAAGTCCCATTATTAACTGAAATCAAATGAAAAGTTATTATGTTCCTTTTCAGGAAGCTAATATTAATTCAACATAAATGTGATATACATCTACAGATTATTTTAAAATACAAATGATAGAATTAATAACCCATACAGATTAATAACCCACAGAGATTAAGTAGAAGTTTATAAGATGATATTCTTCATATCCATTTCCATTACCCATCCCCAACCACAAAGATATTGCAAAGATATCTCTAAGAAAGATATGAGAATGATACACTCTTCAGATGGGCTGGAGCGATAGCACAGCGGGTAGGGCATTTGCCTTGCATGCAGCTGACCCGAGTTTGATTCCTCCGCCCCTCTGAGAGCCCAGCAAGCTACCGAGAGTATCTTGCCCGCACGACAAAGCCTGGCAAGCTACCCATGATGTATTCGATATGTCAAAAAACAGTAATAAGTCTCACAATTTGTTGTGAGACGTTACTGGTGCCGTCTCAAGCAAAATCAATGAACAACGGGAGGACAGTGCGACAGTGCTACACTCTTCAGATGAACAAGTGAACCAAAGAGGCTACAATCAGATAGCCACCTCACTGATGCAACAGACCATGGATGTCAAAGAATTCAAAGCAGCAAGAGATGTAGTTCACTGTAGAATACTTGCCTTGTATGACTGAGGCTCTGAGTTTGAGCCCCAGTAACACACACACAAAGACAGACACAGACAGACACACACACACACACACACACACACACTATAATAACAACTGCATAACTACTTTGACCAAAAGAGGTAGTCAAGCAAGCAGCACCAAAGGGCTGACCAACATCACCAAGAGCTACCCACCAATGAGTCTGGATTAGCTCCTGAGAATAACTAGGTGTGGTCGACTCCCATCCTCCTCCCACCAACAAAGGTAAAGGTAAAGGTAAAGGCCCTCCCGTTGATCGTCGATTTGCTCGAGTGGGCCCAGTAACGTCTCCATTGGAGACTTTGTTGTTACTGTGTCTGGCATATCGAATACTCTCGGTAGCTTGCCGGGCTCTCCGAGAGGGGCAGAGGAATCGAACTCGGGTCGGCCATCTTGGCCGCTTGTAAGGCGAACGCCCTACCCGCTGTGCTATCACTCCCACCAACAAAAAAGAATCCAAATCAGTCAATGAAGGTCAATAACTGATCTTGTTGGCAAAGTCTTCAGGTCCCTTAGTATTGCATTGGAGTCACCCCCACCCCCAATTAAAAATCAACTCAAAATGAGTCAGAAATACTAGAGTCAGAGCAATAGCACAAAGGGAAAGGGAAGGGGGCTTGCCTTACATGCAGCCAACCCAGGTTCAATCCTGGCATCCCTATGGTCCCCCAAGCATCACCAGGAGTGATCCCTGAGCACAGAGCCAAAAATCAGCCCTGAGCACCACTGGGCATGGCACAAAGACAAACAAAAAGATCTAATTTAACAGCTAATATATTATAAACTTTTAGTTCAAAAAAGTACATCTTAGTGACCTTGGATTTGGCAAATATTTCTCAACAAGTGCATAAAAACAAAAAGCATAAAAATGTATTTTTAAATTAGACTTCATCAAAATTAAGCACTTCTACTTTTCCAAAGTTAAGAAACTGAAAAACAAACAAACAAACAAATTGGACTGGAAGATAATATGAGCACATAACATATCTGATAATTTATATTCATATCATATAAAGAACTCTCAGAACCTAATAGTAAAAAAAGACAAAGCTCAACAAAATAAGAGGTTGACAAACACTTCAAATATATAATGAAGGCAAAGAATCAAGTTAAAAGATGCCTAGCATTAACGGATATTAAAAAAATACACACTAAAACCACAAGTAGATACTACTACACATATAAAAATGGCTAAGACAAAAAAGGACCAAAACAACTATTGGTTTAAAAAAAAGTGAAGCCAATAGTGGGAAATGCACACTGGTGAAGGGATGGGTGTTGGAACACTGTATGAGAGAAACTCAATTATGAACAATTTTGTAACTGTGTATCTCACAGTAACTCAATTTAAAAAATTTTTCTAAGTGAAGCAGTATTAACTAGTACTTCATAAACTAAATTTCTGTTTCTCTGGTATTTTAACAAATGTCTATTATATCAGGTGTAAATATACAATCTTGCATAAAAAGGTGCTTCCACAATTACTGAATGAAAGATTATCTTTACTCACTGTATTTTTGGATGGCTCCCAGGTGGCATCTACCTTCCCCACATCCTGCATATCTTGCAACTGACGCAACTGAGACAATGTATGATGCCTCAGAGCTTCATGCAAAGGAGTATCTCCATCCTTATCCTGAATATCTAATTTGGCACCTGCACGAACCAAAAGCTAAAAGAGAAAGATAAATCAATTAGCTAAAGTATTCGTTCCATGCAAGAAATTTTAACATATCTAAAGCAGCAGTGAAAGTGCCCTGTTCTACCTAAAGACGATGCCAAGAAAACTGATCTTTTTTTTGTAGGTATTCGCTGTCTACTTTTTCCACTTTTTCTATATCCCTGTGCCCCATTGCAAATGAATAGTAATGAATTCTGGCTATTCAAATATACTTAATTGTCACTCTCCTCCCATTGTTCACTGATTTGCTCGAGCGGGCCCAGTAACATGGTGAGACGTGTTACTGTGTTTGGCGTATCGAATACGTCACAGGTAGCTTGCCAAGCTCTGCCATGCGGGCGAGATACTGTCAGTAGCTTGCTGGGCTCTCCGAGAGGGGCAGAGGAATCGAACTCGGGTCGGCCATGTTGGCTGCGTGCAAGGCAAATGCCCTACCCGCTGTGCTATTGCTCCAAACAACATACTTAGTTACAGAAGAAAAAGAAGTGAAACCAACATGCTACTTAATGTAACTAACTCTAAATTCAATAAACAAAGAAAATTTAGGATATTTTTTCCCCTTTTCTTTTTCTTTCTTTTTTTTTGTTTAAATTTGGATTAGGGGCCAGATCCAGCTGTGTGCAAGGCTTGCTACTAGCTCTGTGCTCAGGGGACTGTGTGCAATGCCAGTGATTGAACCCAGGAAAACTGGATACAAGGCAAGTCTACTGTACATCTACTGTATGTATTTTCTGGTCCTCTTTTTCCTTTTATTTCAGATATCTGGGGTTACAATATTTTAAGTACTTATAATGAGACTAAATCATAATGGTCAAAATTCTATTATTTAAACAAAAAAATCCTCATTTGTTCCATTTTCTTAGTTTGATTTTCTCTAAATGTACGGTCATTAAGAGCATACAAATAATAGTGCTGGAGCAATAGTACAACAAGTAGGGCACTTGCCTTATATGCAGCCAAACCGGGTCAACCCCCAACATCCCATATGGTCCCCCAAGCACTGCCAGAAGTAACTCGAGCACTGCCAGGGATAGCCCAAAAACAAACAAAAGAAGTGTACAAATACAAAGAATAATTGAATTTTTAGCCAAAGATTTTCAAATAAAGAACCTCTTATACAAAATGAATAATTCTACTTCTCAACAAATGACGTAAGCAGTAGATAAGAGAGTGCCTGTTACTTCACAATTTTTCTAATCTATTCTACAAATACTATCAAAACTTTAAGCAGGAGGAAACAGAAATCAATCTCAAAGATATGGTCCTACCGTCCTGGCAAATTACTTTTTTCCTATCTTGTTTCAAAAAAGATTACATGCAATGTGACTCACAAAATGTGCACAGAATAACCCAGAAGTCTAACTAAACATATTTTTAGGTTCTCCCTCCTAGAGATTCTGATTCAGCTGGTCTTGGTGAGACCCAAGATTTCATTTTCTAGCAAGTTCCCATTGTCCCAACTAACACTACTAGTTCATAGAATCATTGGTCTATGAAATAATTTTAAACAGATAATGTTTCAAATATTTTGTCTGCAATCCCTAGATCAGGGCCAGAGAGACAGTACAGGGGTTATAGTGCTTGCCTTGCATACAGTAGACCCCAATCAATCTCCAGCACTCTGGAGCCAGCCAGAGAAATCTCCAGCATTCTGTGCCAGGAGTGACCACAGAACAAGCCCTGAGCTCCACTGGGTGTGGACCAACCCCGCTCATTGCCCCAAATCACTGATCACTAAAAGAAAAAATGTATTTCAGCTTTTCAGGAATCTGAACAGCAAATGTCTTTATTTTAGTTCACTCTCAACTACCAACTGAAAGTTAATACACTTTCTAAATGCTAGTCTATGGGGCCACTGAGACAGTACAGATGGTAGGGCGCTTGCCTTGCACATGGCTGACCCGGGGTCCATCACTAGCATCCCATATAGTCCCCCAAGCCCAGACAACAGTTAACTCCTAAGTGCAAAGCCAGGAGTTACTGAGCAACACCATGTGTGGCCCAAAAACCACAAAAAAGTTTTTTAAGAACTAATTTTGTAAGTAGTATAATATTCTGATTTCATATTCCTGGAATTCACAAATCTAGGAATGAGATAATAAAGCTTTAGATGCAAGAATTTCCCTGTTACAAATTAAAACTCTTAACTCAAAGAAAACTTACAACTCTTATCTAGCTGATGCAAAATATTATGCTAAAATTATATGTTTTTTAAAGGGACCACACCTTTCAGAGCTAGAGATGTAGCTGGGCCACCCCTAATGATGCCAAGCAGCATTGCTTGCCTGCAAGGACAACCAGGGCCACCCCGAAAGGTGCTTGAGAGCAAAGAAATGCTAGGAATAGAATTTGGGACTTGGACTCACAAATAACTCTAGAAAGAGCCACAAGCTGCATAGATGCCTCCAGGTCTCATGGCAGGCTGAGTTTCAACTGGGGCACCCCAGGAGGTAGCAGGAGTGGGGGTCATGGGGATAAGCCTAGCACCCGCCCCAACAAGTCCCTGAGAGCCAAAAACTTCCAGAACCTCACGCATGACATGAATCTGCTAAAAAACCCAGGAATGCGAGATTTGTGACCACAATCTCCAGGCTCGCAAGGAGCTGTGAAGGGCCAACCTCCCCCATCTCCCTGTTCTTCCGGGAGCCTGGCAGTCATGCCCATGAACTGCCTCTGGTGCCATAGAAACTCATTAATAGCCACAATCCAGAGATGCATAAATAAAACTTGGAAGAGAGCCACAAGCTGCAGAGATGCCTCTGAACTCCAAAGTCACCATCCAGTTAAAAATTTAACTCCAGGAACCAGAGCAATAGTACAGCAGGTAGGGTGTTTGCCTTGCATGTGCTCAACCCAGATTCAATTCTGGCATCCCATATGGTCCTGTGAGCACTGCCAGGAGCGATTCCAGAGTGCAGAGCCAGGAATAACCCCAGAGCATCGATAGTATGACCCAAAAAGAAAAAAATATTAACTCCAGCTCTATCAAGAATTTAGAATTCCTGGAACACGCACAGTATCTCATTCTCTGAGCCACTGATGCAGCAGGAAGAGCATACCACAGCTGATGGGGTGTAAAATAGAAGGCAACAGGTTTCAATCAAAAAAAGTATTAGCACACACGGCTCAACCTGTAATTAACAAGTTAATAATCTCTTATACAAGAGCTGAATGTCTCGAGGGTGAGATAAAACAACCTTCACACATTTTCCCCTAAGCAAACTTTTTTGGATAATTTTTACCTCATTATTCTAACAAGAAAGAAAAATTAAATTATTTAGTATCTGCCTTTGGGTCAGGTATGGGTAGTGGTGGGAAAATTCAAAATAATGGTGGTGGGAAGGTGTAACTAATGGTGATGGCACTGGTGTTGGAATACTGGATATAATAAAATATTGTGAACAACTCTATAAGAATTAAAATTAAAAAATTAAATAAATAAAAAGAATTTGAGCCTTACATATTTAAGCGTGTACTCTACGAGAAGTTATCACCCTATCTCCCAAATTTGTAATTTCTATCTAACCAAGCCTTTTGAAAAATCTAACAACGTGACATCTGAATTTCCAAGATGCCGTAGAAATATAATTAAAATCAGGAGCTAAGATTTTTGTGAGTAAACACTTTACCCGCACAATCTGGGTGTGCTGCCTTTCAACAGCAAGATGTAAAGCAGTTTGTTGGTTCACATTCTGGATATCCAGGTTTGCATTACCCTGAAGAAAATGAACAAAGTTTCATAGTTAAAACTTGAAAACAATAAAGAATATTAAAACATTAACTCTTCAGGAGGCATAAAAATGAAACACCGAATATTGTTAACCACTTTTTTCTCTTCTAGCTGTCGAAACACTGTTCTCAGATAACAGCTCCTAGCAATATAGGAAAAACTGGACAGGGAGCAAACTTCCTGTAATAAATCAAGTTTAAAGAAAAGTATGCTTGAGGGAAAAAGACACCAAGATATTAAATAAAAATACTTATTAAAGGAAGGATAATAAGTACTATCAATGATTCTGGAAGTCAAAGGTCTAGATGAGAACAATTGATGCTCAAGCTGATTAAGGAAAGGGAATAAAATACAAAGTACTTAAGCATAAGAGGACCCAGAGATAAGTGCTGTTACCTTAAATTCATGTGACTAAATGCAGAAATGTTTGAAGTTTCCTGAACTTTCCCATCATTTAAATTTTCTACAGGTTCATTGTATGGGTGTACTATAATTCTTTTACCAAAACACAAACTGATGGACATTGATTAGGTTTGTTTCCAGTTTGGGACTACTATGAATAAAGCTCTGAGAAATATTTACTAAAAGTATTTGCATTAAAATGGATCCTGTCACATCTCAGGTTCATCCCCACAAGTGTTATATATGGATCTACAAATAATACACTGTCACTGTCCTCCAATTGTTCATCGATTTGCTCGAGTGGGCCCAGTAACGTCTCCATTGTGAGACTTGTTGTTACTGTGTTTGGCATATCGAATACATCACGGGGAGCTTGCCAGGCTTTGCCATGCGGGCGAGATACTCTCGGTAGCTTGCCGGGCTCTCCGAGAGGGGCGGAGGAATCGAACTTGGGTCGGCCATGTTGGCTGCGTGCAAGGCAAACGCCCTACCGCTGTGCTATCGCTCCAGCCCACAAATAATATTCAAATTTATAAGAAACTGCCATATTGTATTCCAAAGTTGCTACTTTGAAAAATATCAAATATGTATAGTGAATTATTCCACATCCTAACATTTGGTTTTGTTCATTTAATTTTTTTTTTCTTTTCTGGGTCACACCCGGCGATGCTCAGGGGTTACTCCTGGCTTTGCACTCAGGAACTACTCCTGGCGATGCTGGGCCAGGGGGGAGAAACACACACACACACACACACACACACACACACGGGATGCTGGTATTCGAACCCAGGGCAGCCACATGCAAGGCAAACACCCTACCAGCTGTGCTATTGCTCCAGCCCCTTGTTCATATAAAGGTAAAGGTAAAGGTAAAGGCCCTCCCGTTGATCGTCGATTTGCTCGAGCGGGCCCAGTAACGTCTCCATTGGAGACTTTGTTGTTACTGTGTCTGGCATATCGAATACTCTCGGTAGCTTGCCGGGCTCTCCGAGAGGGGCGGAGGAATCGAACTCCGGTCGGCCATGTTGGCCGCTCGTAAGGCGAACGCCCTACCCGCTGTGCTATCGCTCCAGCCCCTGGTAGGGCGTTCGCCTTACAAGTAGCCAACATTGCCGACCCGAGTTCGATTCCTCTACCCCTCTCGGAGAGCCCGGCAAGCTACCGAGAGTATTCGATATGCCAGACACAGTAACAACAAAGTCTCCAATGGAGACGTTACTGGGCCCACTCGAGCAAATCGACGATCAACAGGAGGGCCTTTACCTTTACCTTTACCTTGTTCATATAATTTTTAAAATTTCATGATTATAGTTCAGCAGATAGGGCATCTGACTTGCATGTGGCTAACTAGGTTTTGATTCCTAGTACCACACATGGTGCCCAAGACTGCTAAGAGGGATCCCTGAAAACAGAGCAAGGAAAGTAAGCCCTGAATTCTCCAAGGTGTGGCAAAATAATAATTATTATTATTATTATTATTATTTTAAAAATTAAATTGAAAAAAATAAATTTTCATTGTTAAAGTTGATCAGTAGTACCTGCTGAATTTATACTTGGCTTGCTGAATGACCAATGATAATTTAAGCCAATTCATAGGGTATCTGGCCAATATACAAAAAAACTCTCTCTATAGAGTATCATGGGACTTTATTGCATTCTACTAATATGCAGTTGATTAAGAAATAAGTAAATGGATAGAAAAAATTATAAACTACAGGAACAATTATTGTTCCTTCTCAAAAAGCTTTTACAGGGGCTAGAGAGATAGCACAGCGGGTAGGGCGTTTGCCTTGCACGCGGACGACCCGGGTTTGATTCCCAGCATCCCATATGGTCCCCTGAGCACCACCAGGAGTAATTCCTGAGTGAAGAGCCAGGAGTAATCCCTGTGCATCGCCGGGTGTGACCACCCCGCCAAAAAAAAAAAACCCAAAAAAAAAAAAAAGCTCTTACAACTAATCTAGTTCTGCACTGGAGCGGTTTTCTAAACTGAACAGTAAACACCACAAATTTTGTCTAATTATATGTTCAATTATTGTCTGGCTCCTATAATAGAATTTCAGCTCCCTGAGTTCACAAATAGTTCAAATGGATATAGGGGGCACATATTCAGCATCTTGTTTATCATCCGGTATGGACTACAGAAAGTTAATAACAAAAAACCATTCATTTTTTAACAAAATTATTAAACTTTCTATCCTTACCTGATGTACCAATAATTCAGCCACTTCAACATGATTATTAAGGGCAGCCAGATGCAAGGCAGTATAACCATCATCTTTCTTCTCATCCACAATCCATGGTCTTGGTAGTTTAGAGAGTAAAACACGCATTGCACTGAAAGTAAAATTTGCATTATTTTGAGATTTACAACGTGATAGTTAATAAAATATATTATTTTACTTTAAAAACATTCATGAGAAACTGCGAAATTAAGTTAGAATATTATTCCTTAAAATTATGAGGAGCCAGAGATAGTAGAGTGCGCAGAACACTTGCCTTGAACTCAAGTGTCCTGGGTTCAATATCCCCAACACCACATATAGCCTCCAGAGTCCCACCAACAACGATACCTCAACACTGGCGGGCATGGTGGGTGGGAGGGAGTAAGAGAAGGGAGATAGGAAGAAGGGAGGAAGGAAAGAGCAAGCCAGAGATATGGAAGGGCACAAACAGTAGAGCACATGCCTTTCTTTCATGTTCAAATTCCTGGGGTTCAACCCTAGCATTCCATGCACCCCTAAGCATCCTGGTTGTGGCAACCACAACTAATAAAGGAAGGAGGAAAGGAAGGGAAGACTGTGCCTTAAACAGATGTTCAGTTTTTCAAAATACCAACATCTAACTTATGGTTGTTTTAAGAGACAAACTAGCACCATTTGGGGAACAAAATCCGAACAGAATAGAAGGAAGAGATGAAACAGCTGAGTGGTCCCAGGTAGGCCCAGTGTCTGGGCTCAGATCTTGGGACGGAGGCAGTCAAGTCCCCGTCCTGCTGGAAGACCTAGTGTCCTACCACCCACACCCAACTTCCTCCAGCATATACATAACCCAGCTCTACAGCTTCTCTCGGAGAGATGCCAACTGCTGAATCAGCCCAGTTCCACAGCTCCTGGAGCACCCAGCCACACATGCGTGGCATCTCTAAATTTCACAATACTGACAGCTCAGTAGGAACACAGAAAATTACATGGAAAAGTTGCGTAGAAGCCCACTAAACTCAGTGAGAGAAAACAATAAAGAAAACTGAACTAGCTCCTAACAGCTCAAAGAAGTGTGCCAATAAATCCTCAGACAGTGACCTTAGTAACACCATTGTGAGTTATTTTGTAACAAGTAATACAAATCATTAAAGAATGATTAAACTGATAAGGAGGCAGGCTTGCGGGTGAGTGAGAAACTGGGACACTGGTGGAGGCAAGATTACACTGGTGGTGGGACTGGTGTTGGAATACAGAATACCTGAAACAACTGTATTATCAACTTGGTAAATCAAGGTGTTTAAATAAAGTTTCAAACATTAGGACTAGGAAAGACACAAAAGGGATATGATATGAGAGGACCAAAAATCAAAGCGAAAAGACATGTATCTCTATAAAGGCATAATTCTGGCTTTGTGAGAAACCTTGGATTCACTAATAGTATCTATTAACAAAATTAAAGTTCATAAAAGCAGGGTAGCCTAATGACTTGTCTCATATGTAGAATACAAAGAAAATAATAAGGGAATATGCCATAGGCAACAAAACCCGAGAACTAGCCTACAGAATTGAGCATACCATGGTGGAGACAGAGTGGGTAGGGATGGCAGACTGGTTGGGGACAAACTCAGGTGGAGGATATGGGGTTGAAACAGTTTTTGCATAATATTATTAGTAAAGAATATTATAAATTGTAACATCTAAAATTTTGTATTTTGACGGCCAGACCTGATGGTGCTCAGGACTGACTCCTTGCCCTATGTTCAGATATCACTACTGGCAGGGCTAGTAGAACCATATGCAGATGATATACCAGGGATCAAATCCATATCTGCTGGGTGCAAGGCTGTACTATCACGCCAGCTCCCCAAAAGTTTTTTAAAGCAGGTAACAATATCAAAGTTGGGCAAATACGAATAAGTAATATAAATTCTATAGCAGATTACCAAAAATTACAGAATAAGACTTACATACACACTGCAGATGTGGCTCAGAGACTTGCTTTAAACATGGAGACCCAGGTTTCAATCCCCTGCACTACCAAATCTAATTAAAAACCAATTGTCTTTTAGCACTGCCTAATTCAATTGAAAACACAATGGGCAAAAATTCTGATTTAATATTTTAAATTTAGGAACCAGTAAAAAAATATTTCAAAGAAGAAAAATATCCATTTTATCGCAGACTATCAAAGATGAAATCATAGAAAAAAAGGAGAGAATACTTATAAAATGATGCCCATTATTGGCAATGCCAGAAACTGAACCTAGAGTTTTACACTTGCAAGACAAGTATTCTCCACTGAGGCATATTCCCAATCCTCAAGAAATCATGATTCTTAAAGGAAAAAAGGAAAAATAATGCTTGACTTTCAAAAAATGAAAAAGAAAATTAGAGGCAATTTTTCCTACCATACATCAAAATTTTTGTCAACAAAGATATTAGGAGAAAAACTTACAATCTGAATAAAACCTTCCTTAATACATTTATCTACTAATAGTTTTCTAAGACTTGGGGCTAGAGAAATAATACAACAGACAGGGTATTTGCTTTACATGTGGCCAACCTGGGTTTGGTGTCCAGCAGATCTCTGGCACCATAGACAATCTCCTGAGTACTACCAGAAGTGATCCCTTCAGTCAGGAGTACACAGTCAGGAGTAAGCCGTCAGCACCACTCGGTATGGGCCCCCTTCCCAGTTTCCCAAGACTGGACCCAAGAACCTATAAAAATGCTAAACTTGGTTTGCATTTTAAAGATAGCTCAAAGGTGTAAGACATATGCCTTGCAGTGCTTGAGGGTGAGTTCAATTCCACAGGTGGCCCTGGTGACCCCCAAGCACTGCACACAGCCAGTGGCTCCCATCGTTGCAGGTCTGAAAAAAAGCAGTCTCGTTTGCCCGAGCACTTAACAAATGTCAGGCCTATACCACAAGTATCACTGGAGTGGCCTCTTGACACCTCCTGGGATTGGGGAGGTCCCAGTAAAAGTGTTGCGTTTGGCAAGGACAGCATTGGTATGTAATACATATTGATAAAACATATACAAAACATATGATATGACTTCTCAAATGAAGTTTTAATTAATTTTTAATTAGTACTTCAGCCTAACGTGACTCAAAACCTGTTAGTTTAACGACAGTGATCTATAAATCCCATGTGGGAAATCCACGCAGTTTGAGGCTTTGGGGGATAAAAGAACCACTAAAATTACACTGAGACCCTACAGAGTTCCTGGGATAAAGGTGTTACTAGTTCAGTAAATCAGTAGTTTTACTAAAATAGTAATAGATTCTCACCTGTGGAGCATAGTATATGAGATACAATTTCCCTAGCGCTTATTCTTTTTTTTTTTTTCTCACCTGGTTTCTTCCCAAGAGGTTAAGGGCATGGATGGTTTAAAGATAAGATCGTACAACCAGTTAAGCAAGGCATTTGTGAACAGGGCCAAAAAAGCATTAAGTTCCAGAACAACTAATAATGGTGCCTAGTATAATCCCTGGCACATGGTAATACTCAAACGTTTGCTGAATGATGAACAAACGAGTTCTAAGCAAGCAGCTGTCTTCACTGGTATGCAACAGCCAAATGGCACTGGGTTCATTTTTAGGGCTAGCCAAGCTTTGCAATCTTTCTTCAGAGATACACAACATTTTCAAACAAGCCACAGTAGCTAAAGTAAGGAGGTCATACATATTTGTATTTCTTATGTAAAAAGAAGTATTAAATATAAATATATGTAAAATATTAATATTTCTTATATTAAAATAGAACATATTAGGCATTCAATAAATATTTATTAAAAGAGTCCCAAATCTCCACCATAAAACTTATTAATAAGATCAATTACTCCCAAGGAGAAGATACTGGGGTATGCAAAAAGCAGGGTAGTTACATAACAGTCTGAAACCATTTGATTCAATATGTAGCACTACGTGAAATGGATGCAGACAAGTCTAGGAGGACATATACCAATATGCTATCTATCCATGACAATCACTTTAATAGATGAATGGGTGGTTTTTATTTTTTTTTTTACTGAATGGTTAGGAACTTAAGGCAATTACTTATATTCTTTGTCCCACTTCCTCGTTTATAAAATGAGGAATCATTTTAGAAGAATCACAAATTCTATCTCATAGAATTGATATAAAAATTAAAAGGCCTTAGAAGAATGCCTGGTATTTATTACCTCATAGAAGTTTTTGTTGGAGGGGGGGAAAATTTATTGCTACAAAAGCTAGCAGAAATGGATTATTCAAACTTACAAAAAAGCTAATAAAATATAGTTTAATAGTTCTATGCATCATCTTAACAGTACAATTACTCAGAAACATTCTAAATTCTATTTTCCACATGAACACTATAAAAAAAGATAACTGATGTTGACACAAATTTAAAGTTATCTATAGTATTTCTAAGATTTTATTTATAGGACTACTCTCATCTTTAAAGATATTTATTCTCTCCACCTGTCATATACAGATTCTAAATACCATTTCTATGTTGTTTTCCATTTAAAACTTACTCATTAAAATTAAAAAGCATGTATAGCAACATCTTGTTCTAAAGATAGACCTACAAAATTCCTTCAGGGTTTTGGCTATGTAAATATCATCTGTAAGATTTTTACAACGAAAAATCTGGTTATGAAATATATTTTGGCAAGTGAGAGAGTTCATGAGTTCCATATCTGTCCAAAAACTGTCTTGCTACTAGCCAGAGTAGTATTTTTCCCCTTTCCTTTTTTCTCTGCAGTGCTTCTAAGTATAGTGACAGCCGCATCAGGCTTTCCTAGTCATAGCGCACGCTCAGTGAAAATCTGGGAATTGTAAGTGGAAACATGAGAGACCGCTTTATTTGGCAGTGCTTAAAAAAAAAAAAAAAAAAAGAAGGACAAATGGCAAAGCGGTGTTTGGACCGCAGGATGAACAATCAATAGGCAGAAAGCAAGATAGAGGCTTTCTCAGCTTTTGGATCGACAATCGACAGCTGAGAGACTATTTTTTGCTATGGTTGACTAAATATGGTCAGGGAAGAGAGAGGCACAAGAGAGCCTGTTTGCCTGGGAGTGCATGTTTCAAATGCTTAGCTGCCTATAAAGCTGTAACAGTTTAGGCTGTGGCCACTGAGGGAAGACTTTAAGTTAACCTCTGTAGTGACCATGTGGAAGCCCTGACCTTGCTTGCAGACTTGACCTCTGGATATGACAAGGTAGCTTCAACACAGATCGACCAATTAATCCTGGAAATTAAAAAATCAAAAACAAAACAAAACTCAAAACAAGAAAGGTACAGAATATTTCCTGAGAAGTCAGAAGAACCCAATGTATTCTGGTGGTCAAAGGAAAAAAAGGGTGAACGTTAACAGTACTTGGGGGTGTGGGGGAGAGCTGTGCTTTGTTTGAGGGGTGGGAGGGTTGTCTTGTTTTTAAGATTACAAAAATAACTTCTGCAACTTTTTTCTATCTTCCGAAGCATTTCATTTGAGAAGCTAGATTCATTTTCTTGGTTACTAGCAACATTCCTTTGTTGCTTAAATTTCCACAGAGTACTACTCATATCTGTGCAAAACTAGTAATACATTTCAAATCAAATGGCCAGCACTGATTTAATTCTAGTTTTTCTGTTTAAGGGAAAAGAAGCGAGAAGCAAAGGAAAGATGTGTTTCGTTTGTTCACTGGTTTTGAAATTATCTTAGAAGGTGAGATTCTGTGTTCACTGATACTTTCCCCTTTACTTTCCCCTCTCCCAGCGCATGAAAAGAAGTGCTGAATCAGCGAATAGAGTGAAGGAACAATCAAGAAGAGATGGCTGCTGCTGTGACTCTCTAGGTCATTACCTCTCCTGCTGCAAATGCTGCATGACACTAAGCTTACAGGTAACTGAGCACCACGGCAAGTACTGTAAAGATACTTGTGACCTTCTGCATGACTACCTATTACTAATGTGATATTTTATTTTATTGTTAGATTCTATCTAGGTATGGCATGATTTCACAGTTCAGGGTGGAAAGCTTATGTCAGTGTAAAAAAGCAATGTTTAAATATCATTGCAGATAGCTCTTGATCTCAAAACTGTACAAATTCTGTCATTTGCATGAGTAAAGATTTTGTCTTTGTTATTTGATGTTAAATGCTTTTGTAGCCCTAGTAAATCACATCCTACTTCCAAATACGCTATCTTTAAAAACCTATTAACTATTTCTAGATTTAGTCCCTTAAGATATCTGAATAATTAGAAAATAATTTCAAAGCTTCTATTAGTTGACCACAAATATAAATCAAAATGTACACTGTAAAAATCTAATGCTGCATTGCTGAAACTGCTGTAGTACTGAACTATCTGCCGCTATGTTCTGATCTGCACTCTCTGAGCTGCACACTAGCTTTTTATCACAAGCTGCAGAAATTCTACTTTCCTGACTTTCCTCCACTCCTTTTCCAAATCAATAAATTTCTTATAAACTAGCTTTATTATATAATTGAAGGCAATTCAAGAACTAATTTCTTCTCAAGCTAAATGATCAAGCTAAAACCCAAGAGTTCAACACCTTTCAGTTCTTTTAAAGGAAACTTTGAAAAAGTTGACTATTCTGGTAACTATCTTTCATATTAAGAAGACCTGAAAATAACTAAACTCACCAAAATTAGGTATTTATAATCTATTTAAATGTATATTCGGTACAAAAAAGCACAAAGCTACAAAATTCAGGTAACTAAAAGACAAATCATCAAAAAGTTGTCTAATGTTCTTGAGTTTCTCTGAATGACCTTAAAAAAAAATCATCACCTTTAAAAATTCTGTTCACGAGGTTTCAGGAGAAAAGGAGGAGGGGAGAAAAGGGAATATGGGGGAGAACAAACACGAAGGAATAAGGTGGCAATATTACTACTACAGTAAAGAAACTGAAATCAAAAACTAAAATGAAATTCAGTTTATTTGCTACACTCTGAAAGGAATTGGTTTTCCTACTTGCTACAATGTCAGTCAATATTAGAAGCACTAATTGGTTAACTGGTAACATTTTAATGTCACCTAGTTCGAAAAAATAATTTGTACTAATTAATTACTATCTAACTTGTAGGATTGAGAAGCAACTACAAAATAAGAAGAAATTCAATTTGAAGACTGGAGAAACATTAGGTTGATCTTACGAATTTCTGAAATGCACTCTGTAAACACCACTGATTCCATTTAACTCTTGCAAAAGGAACCGAACCAAGACAAAGATGAAAAAAATATTTAGCAGTATCTAAATCTACCAAGACCAGGGAAGCATAAATGACACTAATGCATGCTTGCAGGTAAATCTATTAAATAATTTAATCATCAGTAGTCGCTACAAATGACCAGCCTTTGCTCTATACTAATAAGCTGAATATTATACTAACTGGGTATACAAAACATTTTATGTTTCTACAGCAACAACTTAGTGATAAACCTACTCAGAGTACATACTTCTTTATGTACCCATATGAACATAGAATGCTATGGAATGTAAAGAAGTATGTACTTTTGGTAGGTGATAAACTACCAAGTGGGAAACAGATATCTGACAGCGAAAGAAAACCCTGCTTCACTTGATGTGAATGAATTTAGTAGGACTGTTGCCAATACTAACACCACAAAAATATAACCACTTCTTAAAGTAGAAAAAACTAAATGTCGTTAAGCTATATAATTTGTAGAGAAAAGTTGAAAATTTAAAACTGCCATGAAATTCCTTTTAAATCTTGAGTTTATATTTCACATTTTAAAATTTAATTACTTGCATAAATAAAATCAAACTACCAAAAATAAAAACAAAACTATCACTAGCACAAAAAAATGAAAGATACATAGGGTCTATTTCCAATCTCCAAAATTTGATCTTAGTTTAAAATTTATCAGGTCATGCTGATTTCAGAAAAACAAGATATAAAGCTGACTCAACTTACATTACATTCATATTTTGACAAATTTATAATTTACTAATATTAGAGATACTTCTGAAGAAAGTTTTTTTTTCAATTTTTATTAGTGAAACACCATGAGATACAGTTGTAGACTTACAAAATTTTGTGCTTGGGTTTCAGTTATACAATGATCGAGAATCTTTCCTCCACCAGTGCCCATTCTCCACCACCTAAGATCCCAGCATAAAGTTTTTTTTCTGTTAGGAAGAAATTACTTACATAGTCATAATCCTAAAAGATAATCTAGTTAAGTAAAATTCTAATCTCAATAAAGTAGATTCTGTCCTTTAAAGCAGATTCAAATTTACAGGTCCTCAACCCAGTCTTCACTGTAAATGCTAAATTGGCGCTTAGAATAAACTAGGACTTAGATTTATGCATGAATCACAACAAAATTCTGGATTACAACTGTAATCCTACCAGATATACTGTTAATTGATAAGTGTTTTATGTATTTTCAATTATATTACCCTTGCATTTGCTTTCTCCAAAGGAAGCATATAAATTAAAAGCTCTATAATTAAATTTATATAGAATAAAGTATATTTAATTGGTACTATGTAACTATAACCCGGTGTTTATAAACACTATAGACCTATTACATTTAATATAAAAATATAATTTGTATACAATTTTTATATATTAAAAATATCAAAGATCTTAGCAATAATGTAAAACCAATACTTGCTTTAAGCTTCTATGACAAAAAAGAAATACTAATATAAAGTGATATATTAAATTTTTCTTGAAAGTGTAAAATATTTAGATATGTATAGAAACATGGTAATATTTTTAACTTGGGTTACATGTTGAACAGAAATAGCTGTAAATTTAACTGTAAGACCAGTTAATTGTCTAAAATAATTTTTATTTTATAGTCATATTATAAAGAGTAATCAACGATGATTTCATATGGTGCACACAAAAATTACTGCATTATTAATGGGAATTCTAAAATTCTCGTGATTTTACAATTCTATAGTTTCTGAGAAAAAAAGTCAATCAATAGCCCTTCCTGGGTGATAGCTCTACAGAACGAAGTGCATGCCTAGCTCAGCAAAATCCTGAGTTCGATCTGTCGTATTGTATGTCTCTACTCAGCACTACCAAAGAGGCCTCCCAAAAAACAATAACCCTTTTTTCTAGTCACTCACAAATAGGATCACAATGCTTCATATTCCATTTGTCATGCTAAACTACGTGTGTCTTCAGTATAAAAAACTGGAGATATATATAAAAATCACAAGTTCCTCTGTAGAATACTCGCATATTACTGTATTTATATTTTATAATGATAAATTATACTTGTTATTCCACAGAAACAGAAGCTTTAATAACTGCTTTAGTAATGATTTTAAGACACTTCAGCAACTAAGAATATTTCATATAAATATCTTTCATTTATTTTCTTAAAATTATAAAAATTTTCTTCTATTTATAAGAAAATATAATCCTTAGAAAACAAATGACAGCATCTGTTACTTTTTTTCAGAAGTGAAATTATATACTGATTCTGGTGCTTATAAGATTAGCTTAACATATCTAAGAGTATTTTCAATCACTATAAAATGTCACATCCATCACTTAGATCAGCTGTTCATTTTTAACTGAGTACATATTAAACTCTGGGCATCTGCTGACACTGGTGTAACTCAAACATTTCAACTGTCTCCTTGACAGGGATAACAGATGCTGACATTATCAAATGCTGCACTGTTTTTTTTCCATGGCCTCTCCTTGCCCCGATATGGCCAGTATATGAAACTGAACTGCCATCCAAAGCACACTTGAGCAACTGGATCTGTTAAACAGCTTCATATAACTAGTAAAAATAGAAGCCCATTTTATTGCTATCTTCAGCACTTAAGTCCAGGCAATTTAACACCTGTTTAATATCTATTAGAATAAATGATGAAAAGAACTCTAGTTAAATTAATTTCACCAGCAGTAGGGCACTTAGCAAACAACAGATGCAGAATATACTTAATATAGGAATTGTATGCATGCTGCATAAATTAATGCCGGCCACATTCCAGTTTAGTGCAGAACAGTACCTACTGCTTTACTCTTTATTTCACCAAAAGCACCTGTTTTATAGCAAAACTATGTCTCAGATGCTTATTTTATGCAATGTCTTTCAGAAGACATCCTCCTCCAATACTGAAATCTAACACCGGAATCACACTATAAAAACAAATTTTTAAAAAATTATTTTATTTTGAAGGGCTACTTTGTAAATTTTTCAAAAATGTAACATTATATAAAATTACACTAGAAATTGAATTACCTTCCGTGTGACTGGTACTTAAGTTTACATAATTTCCATTTTTATAAATGCAAAGCATGCACTCTACCACTGAACTACAATTCCAGCCTCTCTCTGCTGCACTGAGTTCTAATGTCTGAATCACATGGTAAATTTTAATATCCAAATTTTTATTTGCATTTAACTAACACACATCAATGCACCCTGAGGTTGACAATGGGAAGTAACTAAGAAATCTGTACCCAAAGGACAAAAAAAGGAAACATCTTTGAAAGGGTTAAGTTACTAACCATTAGTAACAACAGTCCATAAGCAAAAAGAAAGAAAAATAAGTTGGTGTGCACAATTATACCTTTCCACATAAATCCAAGCAAGATGCCAACCAAATCTATTTATAAATCAAAGGGCAGAGGCACTTTCTTAAGGCCACTCATATTCCTCTACTCTGTCAGCAATTTGTAATTAGTCCTCAAGTAAAATATTTTTAAAAAAAAAAAAGCAGCGTCAGACGAAAGGTGTGAATAGCATTACTCGTTCCTAACCTAACAGCTTATTTACTTGTTTACACCACAGAAATAGAAAATATTATTCTAAATTAAGTTCCTTTAAATGCTATTGGCTTTGAAACAAGTAAATGTCTACATTTAAGAACAAAGATAATATATTGGTAAAAAATTCCACATTAATACTGCAGAAAATTGTAAAAAGGTGTCATGAAAAAGGGAAATTTTACATTCATTGACAAGTACAAATAAGAGAATCTGTAATATCTGTAGAAGGTCCATAACCATAATTATATAAATTGAAAGCATTTTAACTGTTTTGAATCCTAAAGTAGCACTGCAATGCTTTGCTAGAGCTGGTAAAATGGAACCAAATCGCCTCTTCAATGGATTTGGTCCCCTTCAACCAGCTGTAGCTATGCATTGATTACTACTGGACAGTCAATGTTTCTTTTCTAAATATCAATGTCAAATTATTTAAATTATTCAGATTGTGGTAAAAATCTATGTTAGTGTTAATTTATCTGGAAGAGTTAAAGTGGTTAAAGTTGTTTATTAAAAACTGCAAAAATGTGTGGATGACTTAAGGATTTCAAATAAAGTGTTTTTACTTATTTGTGGTCTCTTCGTATTAAATCTCCTATCCTTCAAAAAAGAAATGACAATAAAATGTATTCAATGCTGCATAATAAAAAATAAACTAAAAGTATCTCAGAAGATCACTGAAAACTATAGGAAAATGCCATGCTAGTTCACTTGAACATGTTCATCTGTTGTTAAACTTGTTAAAAATGTAACATGTAAAATAACACTCTAGAAACTTTAGGTCATTATCTTACATATGACTGTATTTAATTTTACTAATCTTTACCTGAGTATTGCTAGATAGTGGAAAAACAAAATGATGATGCTGTAGATAGAATTTTCTGAAAAGTTTTTAATAACTTTTACTGAGCCAAAAATTAACTTTCAAAAAGGAAAAAACTGCTGAACATCACTACTTTCACTACTGTAGATATTTCACCTCTATAAAATTAATATCTCTAATTTGGGGAGGGGGGAGCACATTTGGAAGCACTCACAGGGTGCCAAAACTCAAGACTGGGTTCCTGCATACAGAGCACACACTCCCCTGGGCAATAAAGATGATTATTTTTTTATTTTGTCCTGTTTGTTTGGGAGTCACATCTGGCAGTGTGCAGGGCTTACTCCTGGCTCTGTGTCCAAGGATCTCTGTAGCAGACTCCAGGACCATATGTAATGCCGGAGATTGAGCCCAAGTTGGCAACACTCAAGGCAAGCCCCTTACCCACTGTGTTATCTCTCTAGCCCCTGTAGGTGACTGTTAATAACATTATCCTTTTGGTTTGGGGGCCATACCCAGCGGTGATTAGGACTTATTCTTGGTTCTATGTTCACTGATCACTCTTGGCAATGCTTGGGGGAACATGTGATGCCAAGGACTGCACTTGGAATCAGCCACATGCAAGGCACACGGCTTAACCCCTGTGTTATCTCTCCAGTCCTTAATCTTTATATTCTCTACATGGTTCTCTACAACCTGTCATATTTGTCCTTTACAAAAAATATAAAAACATGTTCTCTCAGTATAATGAAGATGACAAGTGATCCAACATCCCTCTAATTTCTGACTGACTGCAATAAAACTATGGCTAATATAATGGTTTTCTTTAATAGAAAAGTATTTCAGCAATTAGGCAAGCAACTAATGGAAAGTTAAAAACCCAATCCTCAATTTCTGATCACTTCTCCATTTCAGATATCATTCATTAAAATCATGTGAGCAAAGAAAGTATATGTAAATCATTATTGTATATGTATATAAATAGCCTAATTCCTGTTAATAAATTCCTTGGTCATCTTAATTCACAATAAACACATTTATATATTAAAAGACTGAAACAAATATAGGAGCATATAGAGAAAAATATACTGCATGTATAGCATCATCTAATACTTCTATATGTAGCATTCTACTGTACTGACTTACTGTTGAAAATTTATTATTGGTAACTAAATGCAAAGCTAAGAAATAAAAAAATGCTTAAATTCTACATGTAACACAAACACAAAAATTTTGGAAATTTATTCATATTACTAGCCATAATAAATCAAAGTGATTATAAGTAAATATATGTACTGATAAGAAATTATACTCAGAGCAGTATAAATAATTTACCAAGATGAGTATGTATATTCTAATGATAATATTCTTTTAAAACTTCAAAACTGGCTAAGAATTATATGGAGTGTCAACAATTACAATTAAAATTGACTACACATTAAGTCCATAGTTAAGCTTAGCACACTAAAAAAAAAGTATACTTGCAATCCAAAAGAGAACAAAGATCACAAGGAACAAACTGAAATTTTAGAATCAGGCACATTCTCCACCTCAGAGATCAGCTCCATCTCAAATAGCTTTTTACACTATGGAAAAGCCTTTGCTCTCCCTTGAACATTTATCTCTTTTTCCCCCCAATCCTTCCACCCATCATATTTCTAAGTAAATTTCCCTACATAATACTATTTTACGGCACTTCAAAATAATAAAATTTTACAATTAAAGGTAATATTTATCTCTTTTCCCCCCAACCCTTTCACCCATCATATTTCTAAGTAAATTTCCCTACATAATACTATTTTACGGCACTTCAAATTAATAAAATCTTACAATTAAAGGTAATATTACAACATTGGGGCTGGAGCGGTAGCACAGCGGCAGGGCATTTGCCTTGCATGCAACTTGCCCGGCCGAGCCGGGTTCGATTCTTCTGACCCTCTCGGAGAGCCTGGCAAGCTACCAAGAGTATCTCGCCCACACAGCAAAGCCTGGCAAGCTACCCGTGAGTATTCCATATGCCAAATACAGTAACAACAAGTCTCACAATAGAGATGTTACTGGGGCCGCTCAAGCAAATTGATGAACAACGGGAGGACCGTGACTGTAACTATTACAACATTAAGTTACATATATTATAAAATGTTTATAGCACTGTCCTCCCAAGGGAGAAATAATACATTTATCATGTTCATTAAAAATTAATCAGAACATGCTATGCTTATCAGGTTCCAAAAATAATACTGTACGGCATCAAATTTTTTTCAAACAAATGATAAGAACAAAAATTTTTTTAGTCCCAAATAAAGGGGCCAGGGCAATAGAACAACAGGTAGGGCACTTGCCTTGCATGAGGCCCACCCAAGTTCGGTCCCTGGCAACCCATATAGTCCCCTGAGCACCATCAGGAATAATTCCTGCAGAGCCAGGAGTTAAGCCCTCAGCATTCAGGCGTGACTCAAAACCTGAGATAACACAGAAGGAAGGAAGGGGGCTCGACTTGTATGAGGCTGATCTACGTTCAAACCCTGGCACTTCAAACGGTCGCCTGAATCTGCTGGGAGTGATCCGGAAGCACAGAGCCAGGAGTAAGCCCTGAGCACATAACCTCAACTCCCTCAATAAAATCATCTTGGCATTCTAATTTGAAATAACTGCTGAGTTTCTATCAGTTTCTTTACAGAATTTATTTTGTAATAGACCACAGAACACCGCACACTATCCTATCAAATTGAGACTAACACCTACTGAGTTTTGTGATTCAAGACACTGAAAAATTAATATGTATCCATAATTTCAAGTAAAGGATATCATGAAGCAGACTATATGTACAAGATAAGGGCACAGAACTATAAATAGAAAATAATTTCAACGATGAGATATAGCTGAGGGGAAAAAAATAGAGAGGATTATAAGTATCTCATGAAGACACGGCTTAAATGAAAACAACACAGATTATTTTAGAAAAAGAAAATATTGTAATACAACTGAAAGGCAAAGTAGAGAAATTAATTAGTGGATAATAAAGTTAGAAAAATAGGATCAGTACACACCAAAAGGAGGTCTATAGATTTATTCTCTGTACAATTAGAAGCAACTTATTAGGATCAGTAAAGTGGATCTATTTAATCTATCCTTTTAGAAAGCTAATTTGCTAGCTTATGAAAGTTAAAAGAAACCAGGGAGAACATTTTGAAAATTAATGTAATACTCTAGGCAAAATGGTATACTTAATTAGGTCAGCAATAATGAGAATAGAAGAATGCATGAATTATAAAGACTGATGAATTAAGTGGAACATATTTCTATACAAAATTTCTAATTTAAGCTGAAAATTAGTAACAGTAGTCAAAGAAAATCGCCAGCAAAGAGGCAGCAAGGAAAGTAATATATTGATTTAGCTCTAATACATTTTTTTAGCTACATTATTCATTGTCTATGATGCGTTTCAGACTTGACTACTATGTAGACCATAACACAGAAAGTATAATATAAAGTGATTAAGAGCTTTAAGAGGTACAACTTAAAAGTCAGACAAGGGGCCAACCCATGTTCGATCCCCAGCATGCCATATGGTCCCCTGAGTAGTGCAAGGAGTAAGTCCTAGCACCAAGTCTGGATTTTGCGCATGACCCAAAAACCAAAAACAAAGTCAGATCTTACTTAAGTTCCAGCTGCTCTACTAGCCAGTTACGTGATCTGGAATAAGTAAATCCATCTCTTCAAAACCCTCATATTCTTCATCTCTAAATTGAGAATATTATACCTAACAAAAACTTCTGCTGAAAAGACTGAAATAATGACTATAACCCACTTAACAAAGATATGGTATATACTAAGTACTCTCATCCCTATTCTCATCATCCTCTATTTCAAAGGCAAGAAAAATATAATTCTTGAGCCAAGGTGAGAGTACAGCGGGGAGGGCATCTGCCTTCCTTGCATGCAGCAGAACAGGGCTTGATCCCCAGCATTCCATGTCACTGAGCAACACCTAGTAATTCCTGAGTGCAGAGCCAGGAGTAACCCTTGAGCATCACTCAGAGTGACCCAAAAGGCCTAAAAGCCAGAAATTCTTTTAAAAAATTTTAAAAATAAAAGAAACATGTAATTCTATTTTGTTTCCTTCACAATGCCAAGTATGAAGTGTAAACTATCTATAATATGGTTATTTATTTCATACTACATTGCATACCACATTGTTTTGGGGGTTTTGTTTTGGGACACCTAGTGGTTCTCAGGACTTACTCCTGGTTCTGTGCTAAAGGATTAACCTGGGCAGGACTCAAAGAACCAGAAGGGATGCCAGGAATCAAACCCACCATGTAGGCTGCATGCAAGGCAAGCACCTTACCCGGCCCAACATACCACTGTTATAGGCACCAAAAACATAGGAAAAAAATGTTTAGTTCTCCCAGCCCACCCTCTAGTGGCAATACTCAGAAGCTCGATTATAGTCAGATATTAAGAGGAAACTAAAAATAAAAATGCAATATGAACCTAAATAGATTCATGGATTGTGCACGATGAACCAGTAACTATAGATAATAAAACTATTTTATAACTGAAAGTTAGTAAAAAAGTAAATCTCGGGCTGGAGAGATATAACTGAAAGTTAGTAAAAAAGTAAATCTCGGGCTGGAGAGATAGCACAATGGGTAGGGTGTTTCCCTTGCATGCGGCCGACCCGGGTTCAATTCCCAGCATCCCATATGGTCCCCTGAGCACCGCCAGGAGTAACTCCTGAGTGCAGAGCCAGGAGTAACCCCTGTGCATCGCCGGGTGTGACCCAAAGAGAAAAAAAAAGAAAAAAAAAAAAAGTAAATCTCAAGTTTTCACAAGGAAAATGCATCTATTTAATATGAATGGTGTTGGATATCAACTACTTATTTGCAGTGACCATTCTGCAACATATACATACATCAAATAATGATGTACACTTGAAGTGATTATATTTATGTCAATTATGTCAATAAAAAACCAGAAGTCCAAGACAGATTAAATTATCAAAATATCAGTGAAGCAGTTCTGCAACTGGTAAAACTTCCAATAATATTGTAATCTCTGATATCTCAATTAAAAATTAATTTTAAAATAGCAAAATTACTTAAAAGCAAATATTTCCTTCAGTCAAGATATGTAGATTTTGATTTTACTATAAACTGAAGACCTCAAATGTAGATGTTTCTAAAGTTCTTAAAGTAGCTAGCTCCTCCCAACTTTTTTTTAGCTCATAGAAAGTTCTAGGTTAAACATTATCCTTTTCTGTAGGACTCTGTGGGTCCTTGCTAAAATTTTGGGCTTCTCAAAAGTCTCAAATTACAACCAGTAAACATTACTTCCAGTAGACATATATTAAACAATGGTTAAAAACTATCAACATTTATATAATTATTGATAAATTATGTAACTTAATAATTATCCACAAGTTAAAAATTCATAATTATCCTAAAAATGTCAACATGAGGGCTGGAGAGATAGTATAGTGGGTAGAAAGGGCACTTTCTTTTAACTGGGGTCGAATCAGGATCAATTCCCAGCATCTCATATGGCCCCCAGGAGTGATTCCTGAGTGCAGAGCCAGGAGTAACCCTTAAGCATGCCAGGTATGGCCCAAACAATAACAAACAAAAACAGATAACATGAAAATAATGAGAACCTTATTCCTTACATAAGCCCATTGCTTATATAAGGAATATTTGTCTAAGCAAGAATGATTAGTTAAGTATTCCTTATATAAGCAAGTATTCCTATTAGTTTATATTAACATTTACTACATAGTTATTTCATGAGATTTGCATTAATAAAAAGATGATCTCATAAAACTAATTCTCATTCTCCTAAAGAGCCTTGAATATAATCTCAGGGCTAGGATGAAAGAGACGTTACTGGGGCCTGCTCGAGGCAATCGAAATCCAATCATGAACAGCTTTGTAAGGGTATATCTTACAGTGGTTCAATAAAAAAACTTTTTAAAAAGTTTTAAAAAATTAAAATTTTAAATTTTAAAAAATTTTTAAAAAAGCATTTCTTTTCTCTCTCCACCTCTATCTCTCCCTTCACATTTTTCTAAGTAAATGCCTTCAAATAAAATCATTTTACTTCAGTAATAAAAAGCAAAAATAATAAAGAACAGTTTGGTAGATTAATCGTACAGCAAGCAGGGCACTTGCTTTGCAAGTGGTCAACCGGGGTTCGATTCCCAGTATGCCATATGATCCCCCAGGCCTGCCAAAAATGATCCCTGAGCAACACCAAATGTGGCCCAAAAACAAAAATGGACCAGGGATGTAGCTTAGCAAGAAAGCATCTGCTTTTTATGTGTGAGGACCTGGGTTTGAGTTCCAGCAAGAGACAGCAAGAGAATACATTTCATTGGTATCAAAAAAGGAGAGGGGAGGGAGAGGTGGGGGGGGAGGGGAGGGGAAGGAGGAGGGGAGGGAGAGATAGAGGGACTGACAGGATTAGCAAGACAAAAGTGTTTCCAAAATGCTTATAAAATTATAGAAGATGACAACTATACCTGGGATTCCCTCTCAGTGCAGCATGATGTAGAGCATTAAATCCATTATTGTTTGTAATAGTAACATCTGCTCCAGCTTCCAGAAGAACTGCCAAGATATCATCACGTTTCTTACTTATTGCATCATGAAGAGGGGTATCACCTTCAGAATCCTATTTTGAAAGAGACTTTCATTAGCTCTTTAATCATCACATGGTAATATAACATGCTTTCATTAAAAACTAATCATCAACACAATGTAAGCAGAAACTATATCCAACAAACATCAATTTGATAATGCTATGTTCAATTTGTTAAATGCATACAAGAAGCATTAGGCTAATTAAAGTTAATAAACTCATTCAACCCAAATGAATTGACTATTGGCTAGTTTACTGAAACTCACAGCAAACTTACACCAATCTAGGGTGCAATGGAAATGAATTAAAATTCAGCAGCTTTTAGCTGCATATTAGAATCTGTACAATTCATAAAAATCCTAATACCCAGGCATTAGTAGTTTTTCCAAACTTCATAGCTAAATTTTGTTCAATCACAATTTAGATTAAAATAAATACATTTCATCTGATTTCAAAAACAGAAAAAAAAAGTAAAAACAAATGTAAAAGAAAATTTAGCAATCTGTCTCTCTTCTCCAACTGACTTTTTTAATTAACTCTTCAGAAAGATGTAATTTATTATCAGTCACATGAATTCCTGGAAAATTTAGGTCTTATTCACTTTATTTTCATTACTACTTCTCTCGTGAAGTTATGTACACAGCCTCATTTATAACATGACATGATTACCAAATCATGTCTGCATCTGTTTTTGTAAATAATTTTACTGGAACACAGCTATCCATATTCCTTTATGCATTTTTTGTGGCTTCTTCCATGATACAGTGGTGAATAGTTGCAATCAAAACTAAATATTACATAGCCCATTATAGAAAGTTTTCCGATCACACACACACACACACACACACACACACACACACACACACACATCTACCTGAGAAGTTCAATCCAACCATGCAAGTTCTGTCAGGTAGCACCAAAATTCAAAATTCAATTTTTAACCTGAGATAGTTTCTTAACTTGGTAGCAATAATCTTGTTTAGGTCTTGTCTTGATGCTCTTTCTGACTTTTGTTTGTTTTTAGCTATGCTGGAGACTGAATCTGGGTCTTACCCATGTCAGGCATGTGCTCACATGTTCATTGTTGAACCACACTTCTGGCCCATGTGTTTTGCCTTTTGGTTCCCACTGTAAGTATTTCAAAGTTGTGTCACTCTTTTTAAGCCAAGGATATAGCTCAAAAAGCTATAACACATGATTTGAATGTACTAGTCCTAGGTTTTATGTCTGGTACCACATGGTCCCAAGCACTGTCATGTACAATCCATCACACTGAGCCCAGAGTAGCCGCTGAACACTTCCAGGTGTGACACAAAAATCAAGATTAAAAAAAAAAAGGGGGGGGCCACTCTTCTTAATTACCCTTTATATACCTACTACATTCCACTCTTAACAGATGACTTTGCCTTCCATTTCAGATCTCACAGAAGTGAGCAGATATAATTTACCACCATTCACATAGCTTACCATATCTCAACTTCTCCCCATCCTCCAATCCCATCATCCCCTTATTTCAAAGTCATTACTTTCAAATCCTGTCAGTTCCAAAAAGTTAAACTTCAGAAAGTCCTATGAACATCTACTCTTTGATAAGGGAACAAGAAATGTGAAGTGGAGCAAGGAAAACCTCTTCAACAAATGGTGCTGGCATAATTGGACAACCACATGCAAAAAAATGGGCTTAGACCTCGACCTAACACCATGCACAAAAGTCAGATCAAAATGGATTAAAGATCTCAACATCAGGTCAAAATCCATAAGATACATTGAAGACAAGGTCGGCAAAACCCTCCAGGATATTGAGGCTTATGGTATCTTCAAAGACGACACTCCACTGACCAAGTGGAAACAGAGATAAACAAATGGGACTATCATAAATTAAGATACTTCTGCACCTCAAAAGATACAATAACCAGAATACAATCTACAGAATGGAAAAGGATATTTACCCAATACCCATCTGATAAAGGGTTGATATCAAGGCCATACAAAGCACTGGTTGAACTCTACAAGAAGAAAACATCTAACCTCATCAAAAAATGGGGTGATGAAATGAACAGAAACTTTCCCAAAGAAGAAACCCGAATGGCTAAAAGGCACATGAGAAAATGCTCTACATCACTAATCATCAGGGAGATGCAGATCAAAACCACAATGAGATACCATCTCACACCTCAGAGACTGGCCCACATTCAAAAGAACAAAAGCAACCGATGCTGGCGCGGATGTGGTGAGAAAGGGACACTCCTTCACTGTTGGTGGGAATGCCGACTGGTTCAGCCCTTTTGGAAAACTGTATGGACGATTCTCAAAAAATTAGAAATTGAGTTCCCATCTGACCCACCAATACTCCTACTGGGAGTATATCCTGGCAAGGCAAAAAAGTACAGTCAAAATGACATCTGCACTTCTACGTTCATTGCTATACTATTCACAATAGCCAAAATCTGAAAAAAACCCGAGTGCCCGAGAACAGATGACTAGTTAAAGAAACTGGTACATCTACACAATGGAGTACTATGCAGCTGGCTAGAAAAGATGAAGTCATGAAATTTATATACAAGTGGTACTACATGGAAAGTATCATGCTAAGCAAAATGAGTCAGAAAGAGAGGGAGAGACATAGAAAGATTGCATTCATCTGGGAATATAAAGTAACAAATTGGGAGACTAACACCCAAGAATAACCAAGATAAGTACTAGGAGGTTCACTCCATGGTTTGGAGACCAGCCGCACACGCTGAGGGAGAAGGTAGCTCAGATAGAGAGAGGAGCACCAAGTAAAGGGTGCTGAGAGGACCCGCCCAGGATGAGAGATGTATGCTGAAAATAGACTATAGACCGAACATGATAGCCACTCAATGCCTCTTTTGCAAACCATAGTACCCAAAAGGAGATAGAGAACAAAAGGGAATGCCCTGCCACAGTGGTGGGGGGGTGGGAAGGATGCTGGGAGCATTGGAGGTGGGGAATGGGCACCGGTGGAGGGATGGGTACTCAATCATTGTATAACTGAAACCCAAGCACAAAAATTTGTAAGGTCAACAAGTGTACCACATGGAGTTTCACTAATAAAAAAATTTTTTTAAAAAGTCTTAATTACCAAAAGCTTGTACAAAATCTGGTTCTTTCCATTTATCTCAAACCTTCAGCTCAGTACTCCCTCCTACAGTCTTTTTCTGAGACCTGTATTATCTAATTATCTTATTGCTAAAGCTATGGATGGAAAGAATCATTACTTGCAGGTAATCCTTGTTTCAAAAATTAGACTCTATTATAAACCAATGCTAAAACTCTTATGTATTTTCCAAAACTGAGAAATTTTCCAGGACTAATCAATAAACCAAAATTTAGTTATGAAGTAATTATCATGATATGCAGTCTACTATACACAATCAGCTGAAGTCCTAGTCATGTTCATATTTGTAAGCTAATATTTTTTGCACACCCATCCCTTCTTCTAATAAAGACCCCTAATCTTCTAATACTTTCAAAAAAGGCCTGGGTTTTTTCCTACAGGAATGTTCATAGCAATTTCATTCATAAAGCCCTAACCTGGAAATTGTAAGCCCTTGTAAGCCCATGGAGACTGGTTTAAAAAAACTGGTGGGGGCCCAGCGTGATAGCACAGTGGAGAAGACGTTTGCCTTGCACATGGTCAACCGGGTTCAAACCCCAACACCACATACGGTCCCCCAAACAGCATCAGAAATGATCCACAGTTCCAGAGTCAGAAATAAGCCCCGAGTATCATCAGTGCAGCCACAAAACAAACAATAAAATTAAATTTAAAAAAAAAAAAACTGTTTCACCTCTTGCGGTGCCAGATACTCTCATTGGCCACCATCCAGATCACATGGCTGCTTCTCCCATAAGGGAGTATACCATGAGAACCCATAGCCATGCCACTGGACTTCCACGCCAGGCTATTTTCACTCAGGGTGCCCGGGGGGGTGGGGTGGGGGGCAGGTGAGAGCCCTCTTCGCCCCAAGGAACCCAACCTGGCAGTCGATCTCCACAACCCAACTACCGTCAAGCTCCAAGCTGCTCCCCATACGCTCGGGCCGAGCCTCACATATGAGTAAACTTATTCCTGGACACATCATAAGACACTTCTACCCATTCTCCATAATTACCACACCATATTTGATGGGGTTCAGACAGTAGACAAAAAATCATAGAGAGAAATATACATATATACATATTTTCAAATATATATTATATATATATATATATATACACACCAAATCTCACATCACCCAAACTTTAATGTTAGTGATATCCTATAGAATGTCTCAATGGCTCCTGCCAAAATAGAACAATCTTCACACTGTCTCTTATATGAACACTTTTTTGTAAGCATGCTGAGCTGTTCTTTTCCTGAGTGCAGAGCCAGGTGTAACTCCTGAGCATCGCTGGAGTTAACAACAAACAAATAAAAAGCAACAACAAAAACAACAAAAAAACTGTAACAACTAGCAAAATCAAGGATTAATCATTCAAACAAGTCGAACACAAGTATGAAATATGATTATATTTAATTTCAAAAACAGGCAAGACTTATGTACAATGACAGAATCCAGATCAGTAACTAATTACAGAAATAACAAGTCAGACTGAAAAAAAAGGTACTAGAAAGTTTTCCAGGATGATGAAAAGTCCTAAAACTTCAATAAGGTTTTGGCTTTAAAATACTTTTCTAAAGGTTGAAGAGATAGCTAAGTGGACTAGAACAAGTGCTTTGCATGCAAGTGTCTCAGGTCCAATCTGAGGGCATGGGAAGGACAGGGGACCCAAAGCACAGCCAGGTGCAACTGCTGAGCCCAGAGCTGGAACAGTACTACCAGGTGTGGCCCCAAAATAAAACCAGAAAAGCTTTTCTAAGAAGGAACAGCTGTCAAATGTAATACATTCTTTATCTTTGATATAATTTCCTATCATTGATCATATAAAAAAGATCAAAGCAATGTTTATCATAAAATTTAGTTCTACATTTCATTAGAATTCAAGCAATGCCGCAAAAATATATTTTCTTAAATGTTTTTAACTGGAGGACCGGAGACATAGTACAGCCGGCAGGGCATTTACCTTGCACGTGGCCGACCCGAGTTTGATCCCCAACATCCGATATGATCTCCCAAGCATCACCAGGAGTAATTCCTGAGTCCAGAGCCAGGAATAACCCCTGAGCATCACCAGGTGTAACATCCCCCCCCTCCAAAATGAATTTTACCTGAAGACTGGGATGACAGTCAAAGTCCAATAAGGTCTTTACAACTTGAAGATGACCTTTATTAACAGCAATATGAAGTGGTGTCTGTCTTCTCTTGTTGCGAGCATTCAAATCAGCACAGCCTCGATGGAGTACTTCTATAACCGCACCTTCATCTCCAAAAGCTGCGTGATGGACAGCTCTATCTCCATCTTTATCCTAAACAAACACATTTAAAAATGAGTTAGTGAATATTTTTAATAGAAAAGTAAAATAAAACTATAGTAATTAACAAAAATAGATTCATGTGAGAAAAAGAAACACTGCCAGCAATAAATTAAGCAGAAATTCACTTGAACATTAGCTCCAAAGATTACTATGAACCTGGATTGCTATATCATGTGACACATATTGAACCCATAAATGTATCAAAAAGTTATATCGATAGTTATATCCTTTGTCTTTTCTAATTTATCAGATGAGGGTAAGACAACATTTAGAAAATGCTGAGGGACTGGAAAAATAGCAAAGCGGGTAGGGCATTTGCCTTGCATGCAGCCGACCCGGTTTGGATTCGATTTCCAGCATCCCGTATGGTCCCCTGAGCACCGCCAGGAGTAATTCCTGAGTGCATGAGCCAGTGACGCAAAAACAAAGAGAAAATGTTGAACCATGATATATACAACTACACAAACTACTTTTATATTTAAGGACTCTAGTTCTTATTTATTTTTTTGAGGACTCTAGTTTCTTTAGGTAGTTTGAAAATTCCTATTCTATTCAGAATAATTTTTCGAAGATCACATAGATAAACACTGTTCTAATTCAATCTATTTAGAACAAATGAACAATTTATTCAAAACAACTGATGAATTCAAAATAGTCTGGGAACTGCGAGCGCAATAAATATCCCAATGGGTTAAGTACGTGATTTGCATGCAGAAGGTCCGGTTCCAGCCCATGCACCTCACGGTCCCCGGCATCTCTAGGAGCAGCCCCAGGGAGTAACCCCCAGGGAACAGACAGTAGCCCTAAGCACAACTTGGTGTGGCCCTAAAACAAAAGAGCTTTGGTATGTACACTTTCTCTAATTATTAAAAACAAGTTTTTAACAACTTTATACCTGACCTTAACAAGGAAACCTAAAAGAATCTGAAAAGGATTTAGTTTTAAATCGAAAACTAAGCTTGATTTTTTTTATTACCTTCTTTTTGCCTCAACCCTATCAAGTCTGCTTTTGTTACAGATTTCCCTTTCTTCGATGAATGACTAGGTAATACAGTCGACAAAGTAATACCTCTAAATTATACTAATACATCCTTTTCCTGAGCTCCTTCCAGTCTCACTATCCTGATTTGAAATCATCAAATTCTATGGCTTTGATTCATTTTATGTTCCAATTATATTATTTCTTTTCCAGTTCTATAATAGTTCCAAATGTTTTTTCTCATTCACCTAAAAAATCATATGCCACCCTTCCACTACTCTATTATGACACGAATATATTTTTCATACAAAACATAATTCTGATTAAAATTCTTGAGGCAATGGGGGCTGGAGAGATAGCACAGCGGGTAGGGCGTTTGCCTTGCACGCAGCTGACCCGGGTTCGATTCCCAGCATCCAATATGGTCCCCTCAGCACCACCAGGAGTAACTCCTGAGTGCAGAGCCAGGAGTAACCCCTGTGCACCGCCGGGTGTGACCCAAAAAGAAAAAAAAATTCTTGGGGCAAGAGCAGTAACACAGCAGATACGGGCTTGCCTTGCATGCAGACAACCAAGGTTGATTCTGAGCACGACATATGCATCCCCACCCACCCTGCAACGCACAGATTAAGCCCTAAGCACCACCAGGTATAACCCAAAAAGCAAGGAAATAACAACAGAAAATGTTTGTAAACTCTTACATAGAGGCTAACAAGACAGTAGAGTGGGAGAGGCACTGTCTTGCATGTAGCTAACCCAGCTTCAATCCCAGGCACCCCATATGACCGCCACCCCCAACACCAGAACACGGTCAGGAATGATCTTTAGTGTACAAAGCCAGAAGTCCCGCGCACTGCCAGGTGTGAATCCAAAACAAACAAAAGCACAAAAACAAAACTCTTATATGTAATAATACCACCACAAATTTTTAAAAACTTAATAAATAAATGTAACACAGTAACAACAAAGTCTCCAATGGAGCCGTTACTGGGCCCGCTCGAGCAAATCGATGATCAACGGGAGGGCCTTTACTTTGCTTTTACTTTACTTAATAAATAAATAAAACAAATTTATTTCTAATACAAAAATAAGCTTAAGTTTTTTTCTTTTTGGGTCACCTGGCAATGCACAGGGGTTAACTCCTGGCTCTGCACTCAGGAATTACTCCTGGCGGTGCTTAGGGGACCATATGGGATGCTGGGAATCAAACCCAAGTCAGCCAGCCACATGCAAGGCAAACGCCCTACCCTCTGTGCTATCACTCCAACCCCAAGCTTAATTTTTTTAATTACTGATTCATCGGGCTAGAGCGATGCACAGCAGGTAGGGCGTTTGCCTTGCACGCAGCCAACATGGCCAACCCAGCCGACCCGAGTTCGATTCCTCCACCCCTCTCAAAGAGCCTGGCAAGCTACAGAGAGTATTTCGCCCACACAGCAAAGCCTGGCAAGCTACCCATGATGTATTCATATACTGAACACAGTAACAATAAGTCTCACAATGTTACTGGGCCTGCTGGAGCAAATCAACAAACAAGGGGATGACAGTGCTACCATGCAGTGCTACTGATTCATCACTGGTTTGCAATTCTATCAAATTTTAGTGGGTTGAATTCACTCTCCATGTACATACTCGTCACACCTACAACCACAATTCCAGTGCCACCCCACTACCAAAAATACTCCTCTATTTCCACAATCGTTTACACCTTTCCCTCTAGTAACCACCAGTTTTCACCATCTTAAGAGTTAGGGTTTTTTCCTCATACTCGTATTTCTCACGTCAAACTACCAAGTAATTTTCACTTCTTTACTTTATTCAGTTTTATCACCTCAAGATAGATCCACAGTACAATAAGTAGGGCACTTGTCTTGCACATGGCCAACCCTGATTCAATCCCTGACACCCCTTAGGGTCCCCAAACCTACCAAGCGTGATTCCTGAGCACAGAGCCAGGAGTAAGACCTGATACAGCTGGTTGTGGCCTAAATATAAAAAAGGGGAGGGAAAGATAGCCATTCTGGGCCAAAAGGCTTATCATCTTTTTTTAATAGCAACACAGCATTTCACTCCTTCTTTATCCAGTCATCTACTGATACACACTTGGGTTCATGTTTGGGAAACTGTATCAAATGCTAGTATGAAGAGATACAATTTTTCTTAATAGGCTGGTGTTTTTACATCCTTCAGACATACTCCTAAGGGAGGTATTGCTACATCAAATAAAATTATTTTCTAAAAGATTTTCCAGACCCTTTTTCCATAGAGGCTATATCAATCTGCACAGAAGACCAATATTCCTTTTTCTCCAAATTCTTGCCAAAACTTGTTTCTAATCTTTATCACATTTGTCTATGCTCTTCTGATAAGGTGAGAGTTTATATAGGTAAATGTAGGTTTGCTCTGAATTTCCTTAATAAACATTGCTGAGCATTTTTTCATGGGTCATCTCTCTATTTTCTCTGGAGAAGTATTTCAAGTAATGCAAGAAGTACAGTTACAAAGCTTTCATGTTTGAGTTTCAGCCATACAATGATCGAAAACCCATCCCTCCACCAGTGCACATTTTCCACCACCAATGTCCCCAGTATGCCCCTCCACACCCCCATCGCAGCCCTCACCCTGCCTTTATGGCAAACAATTTCCCCCAAATGCTCTCTCTACTTTTGAGAGCCCTTTGTCTTAAAGGCACCCCTTTAAGACATACTTGAAAAACATATCTCACCAACACACAGAACTTCTCATGATGATAGCAACAAACTCTATTACTATCTCAAAATTCTCATTGTTTATGGCCTAACCCCACCAGTAGAGAAAAAGAGTAGGAGAATGAATCAGAAAACTGAACCTAATTTTTTACTGCCTATATGAGATACATCAGAACAGCCATGGCAAACACGGTCATGACAAACACAAGTCAAAGGCCAGAAAACAGGATTTCAAGTGAACAATTCCCCAAAAGAACCAGAGTGGCCGAACTTAAACAACATAAACTTCAAGTTAAAAAAGAAAGAAAGCAGGGGTATGGTGCTGCCAGCAGGTTAATCTGTACCTGTGAGGCGAGTGCATCAGCAGCCTGATGGCAACGTCAGACTTCCAGATACCCCAAAATTGCTGTTGTGCCTTTGGACAGACCCCAAAAACTTGGGGCAAAGTTTACCAAGAAAGTAAATGGCCAAAAGTTAGGTATGTGGGAGACACACCCACAAATCACCTCCAGCTCAGCTATATAATTGGAGGCATGGCCTCTCTGGTTCCTGATCGAACTGCTTAATGGCCATGATCCCAGAGTCTCAGAAACAAATCTCGGAACCCAAAGGCTTTAGGCAGAAATGCGTCCTGTTCCTGCAGTAGGTTACTGGGGCTGGGCCACTCCAGGTGGGAACAGGTTTCGTGCCTTGGCCTGTTCCCCCTGGTGGCCTGGTGACCACCATCCTCCAGAGGCCACAGGACAGTCATGTTTGGACCTGCAGTGACAAGACACGCGGGGCCTCACCAGATGGTGGTGGAACAGGCCCTTTCCTCCCCATCCCAACGAGACCCCGAGTCGCCGCCTACAAACGGCCTCTCTGGCTCCTGATCAAGCTGATCAACAGCCATGATCCCAGAGACTCAGAAACACTCGAAACCCAGAGGCTTTTGGCAGAAATGAATCTGGACTGCATACAAGGTGGCCGCCACCTCAGAGCTTATTGGAAAGCCAGGTATGAGCCTGCGGTGACGGGGCAACTGTAGTCTCATGGGAAGGGGGGCGGTACCGGCTCCTCCCTCACGCCCTACTGAGGTCACGAGTTGCCCCCCACAAGCGGCTCTATGGCACGGCCATGGCTCCAGAGGCAAAAGGACTTAATCCAGAGCCTGGAAGCTTGCGGCAGAAAAGTGAATGGACCATGCGTTAAACTACAGCGCCATGCCTCCCCGGGAGGGAAAGGGTGTTGCTCCCTTCCGCCTTTTCCCCACTGGGCAGCAAGGTGGCCACCACCTCACAGCATATTGGAAAGCCAGGTATGAA